GGTGCTTGAGCTTGTATTGTTGTATTATGTCCCTATCATTTACAGTATGTTTCAGTCTGACATTTCCGGTCTTTTTATGTGTTTTTTATGTTTTATGCATTTATGTGCTGCTCAAACAGACTGCCCCTGGTGCGATAAATAAAGTAATATGAATCTGAATCTGCACTTTTGAAAGACACTCCTGGGTTGCCTTGAATTCCACTTGTGATAGCAATGAGACTTTGGAGGGATAAGGCCTCCTCTGGCTGACAGACCTCAAACCTCTCCCATTGCCTTCAGTGTTCCCCATTTCAGGTAATAAGGACAGGGTGGCAAATCTGATTTGGAGGGTCATGGAAACCTATCCTCATTTTTCAGTGGGCATAATGTCTTCACATAAGAAAAGTCACTGAACAATGATTACATCAAAGATTTAACATTTTTGAAACAGATAACATTTGGATCACAGATCTATAGGGCACTGTCCGGTTTCCGAAATGTGCTAAAAATAGCTCAGATGACTGCGCATGCGCGCATGTTTCGGACAAACATTGTGTACGACTCGTTGAGTTCTACTGTGTTCTCCTCATACGCGTGTGTATTTATTTGGGCTAAATCATTGAATCATGGTGACAACAAAACACTGCAGTTATGGTGCTTGTCGGAGCGATTTCAGATACTCTGAAAAGGACTATATGAAAGTAACATTCAACCCGTTCGTTAAACCACAACATCGGACCAGACCAGGACCAGACCAGGACCAGATCAGACCAGGTGGGTGCTTGTGGTCGGCAGAATTTCTCTCATGAAAAGGTTAAAAAGGGCACATGTTTTTTCAAAACACTTCGCTGGATCAACTGTGGAGTATCCAGATCCAGTCCTAGCTACGTTTAGCTGGGACTGGATCTGGACCGCTGTATCTGGTCCGTCTGAGCTCTTCTGAATGTAGTTAGCACAAACTTTCTCTTTACACCATTTACCCCCATCAATCCATATTAGTATTGTTTGTCCTAATCCAGAAAGTATACAATTCTCACACCTGAAGAAAGATGAGAGGGATTTTTTTCAACTTTGTGTCTGCTCATTATACGGCTTTGTACCAATTGAACACACAAAATAAACGTCATTCACTACTCATGCCGAAAGGTTTATTTAATGAGTGCAAAGAAAATAGTTCCCAAAGGTTTTCCCGTGGCAGGCGAGTAACAGTGAGGATAGTTAACCTAAAAGCGATCGCTTTAGTCGCATTAAAAAAGTATTTTTGTCATGAAAACCTGAACAGTTAATTCTGAAAACCTCCGTGCACTTGTGTTATGAATGTGTATAATGTATTCTCCCATTAACATTTAAATGTGTTGATTGATTGTCATTTGCGTTTACTGAGTGTGGCTAGCTCTGATAGTTTCTCTCAGAGACAGTGGCGTAACCCGTTGTGATCATGGATTTATTATAATATCAGCTGACTGTAGCTAACTAATGATCAAACTAATTACAAAGTGGATAGTGCAAAAACAACTTGATAAATGGAAGTTAATCACAGCAAAACAAACAAAGAAGGCGCTAGCATTGCAATTTAGATGACTAGATAATGTTAGCATAATCCTCACCATTATCTTTTTATCAATTCAAACCGTCTACCAGTTACTGGAAGACCACGACATTCAAGCCAACGTTATAATTGGTCTACACTATGATCCCTGATGGTTTGATGGTGGAATTTTGCCCCTGGTATATCATTTTCGTCTAAAGTGACAAGTGGTATTTGATTCATTTTGGCAGTGTTTGTCCGAAATATGTGGGCGGGAGTTGACAGACGGCGGGGGCGTGTCTTAGTGACGTCATTTAGATAGTTCGCTATTATAATAACGCTTTGATGCTAACGAGTTTTAGCTAGCAGCTTTTTGTGTAAAGTTCACCACAAGTGCAGCTCTGTGGTGCCTCTGTCATGTTAGCAGCACTTCTTTACGGTCACAGTAGAATGTCAACTCAGGGTGAGAATATATGTTCATAAGCACTGACCCCCATTGTCAGCCCTGGTTTCTTCCTGATTAGCTCTTGTTTTGATTTTTTTCAAGTGTCTTCCTCTTCTTGCTCTGATCGGCTTGTGTCCCTGTGACCACTTGTTTTGTGTTCTTCAGTTCTTCAAGGCAATGAGGCGGAAATTAGGCTGAAATTAGGGCCGTGGGGCGAGTGATAAAGGCGGCACGGCACAGCACCCTGCAAGAGCCTGTTATGGAACACTGGCATTATGCATTTAAAGATCGATATTAATAATGAAAACATGTCCAACCCTGGTTAGCTTCTGAGGTCTAAAGGAACAGGCTTCCACATGCAGCTGGTGCCATGTTACAAGAGTAAATTAGTAAAATTGTAAAAGTGTCTAAAAATCACAAAATCATTAGATCAAGTTGCCATGTTGTGAGTTAATAAAGTGATGAATACCCTTTATTTTTTACAACTTTTTCACAAATATGACTTTTAGTTTGTCAATAATAGTGGGGTGATGCAGCTCCTGCCTGGAGCCCCGTTGGCAGACGCCCTGAATGATCTATGTTACGTCAACATGAAGGACACCGCTCTGTATCCGTCAAACTGTTCTCCGCACACTGACACCTCTATTTACGATCATCTATCACATGATCACTGTCAATATCACTCTTACTTTTTCATCAGAAAGTCATCAAAAAAACCACAGAAAGTATGTCAGACGTGATGGAAAACATGAAAATCTGCTTTTGTGATGAATTAATAATGTCCGTGTTGCAGAATGTTTCACAGACGTGCAGCAGCTTTCTGGAGACTCGTAAACTTCTTTATCTGTTGAATCAAATCAGTGTCAAGACCTGATTCTGATGGAATGATTTCTAACATCCACTCTATTTCTGTGCCACTGAGTGTTTCTATTTATGAATAGTACGAGCATGAGTATTCTTCTGGCCTGAATGTTACAATAATATTTTTTTTTAATTTTTTTTTTTAAGTGGAAATACAATTACAAAAGTGCTGCAAGTTTAATGACAGAGATGATCCAGGACATTGGTCAACCCTCTCCCTGTGGACCAATGGCTCCTCCCAGTATTTTCTGTGTTCTAATTGTTTGATTCACTAATCTATTTTTTTATTGTTTTTTGTAAATTGACAATTTCAACACTGTGAAAGTGGGCAAGGTGACAGTGGCTCAGTTGGTAGAGCATTGGCCTTTGAGGCCTGAAGGTCGTGGGTTCGAGCCCTCCACAAGACTTTGTGACTCTCACTGATGACTGCTGTCATTGTGTTCTTGGGCAAGACACTTAACCCCACTTTGCCTGAAGCCCCCACTGAAAAATCAAGGCTCCTGTGGACTCACCACCTGCAGGAGGATCAGTGAGGGGCTCTGACTGCCCCCGACCCAGAAATGGATTAAGGGGAAGAAAATGAATGAATGAATTTGGGCTAGAAATAATTAAATGATATTGGAAAAAAATACAGCTACATGAAACAAGTAGGAGAAAAAGTTCATTTATTTCTGGTATTCAGCTTAAAATGCGAAAAGAAAATATGATAAAGACTCAATACATTTATCATTACATACTTTTCTGAAATCTTTTATTTGGAGTTTTTTTTACAAGCTGTGGACCATATTTATGACCAACAAAGGCTTGATGTATTTCACTTTGCGAGTAATGTGTCAAATTAGTTTGATGTAATAAGCTGAATTGCAGTAAATGGATTTTTAAGCGATATTCTATTTTTCAGAGTTTCACCTGTACAAGTCTGACTGAAAGACTTACTTACTGAAGTTTACCCTTTATCGGCCACGCAGGCAAATGTGTCCTCTGTGTTTGACCTGTCCTTAATGCCGCTGGGGCCACAAGCGATCGGAAGCAGCAGCCGTTCAACGTCAGGGGATCTCTACGTTGTTACCCTTTGTCTGCTAAAGTGTCAGTATAACACTTCCTCAGACAGTGCTCTCATGTTTTCTATTTTGAAGGCAATGTGTTACTCATTTTGTCACAGAGGTCAGAATTTACAGTATGTTTTCTGACACATTCTGTAAAAAAAAAACAGTTTGAATTAGCTTTAGATTATTTTAAGAAATTAAATAATGTTTATTTATCTGGCGCATTTTACAGACCAAGGTCACCCAAAGCGCTTTACAATGTTTAGCGTTCAAATATGTTTTTCCATTCTCTCAGTGACGACGGAAGGGAAATGCCCATCACACTGCACATCAAAGTCAACACAGAAAGGCCTGGAGGTGGAATCAAACCCTCGACCTTTTTGCTGTGAAAGGTCTAACCGCGGTCTTGTAATGACAGAATTGTAATGAAAATAATATAATACAATATTCAACTTCAAAAGGCAGTTTAGCATCGACCCAGAAGTATCAAATCCTATTTAAAACACAGATGAATAAATATATACATGTTTGTGGGACTGTGCAGAAGCTGATATTGCTAATATTCACATTTTTATTCATTTATATCTATTTCATTGTTGTACCAGGAAAGGCGTCCTGGCAAGGTGGCAACACGGGTTACAATTTGAAATGGTCAAAACATTCATAGTTCATAATAGTCATCCTAACCAGTAGAAAGTGTCAATGTCCGTTGAATAGATTTAGGATAACTTTAAAAACAATCACACACTGAGCACTAAACTGAGACCAGCTCCTCCAAGCATTCTGCAAAGTGTTCCAAACAGCTGGTGCAAAACACAAAACCTGAAGGCCTTTCTCTCCAAACCCCAATCAAACTCTTTTATTTTAATATTAAGTGTAAAATACTACATTAAACTGCGTCTAACGGGCTTTAACATAGTCAAAGTTGCTGGGAAATTGCTCATTAATAGTTCAGAAAAACCTCAACCCGACGTTTTTATGTCCAGCACTCGGTCATGCAACATTACAACAACATTTGGCATTTTAGTTTTCCCTGTGAAAGGACATGTTGTTTGTTTGCGGCCTCTTTTCACACTCTGCTTGTGGTTGTCCGTCAGTGTCAGAGCTGAACCTCCTCCTCCTCCTCAGTGTGACTCAGACCTCACGCAGCGATCAAAAACCCTTCAGGAAGCTCCAGACAAGTGCCGCCCTCGTCCTGTACCACTTCACTCTTTATTGAAGCACATGTCTGTTGGCAGAACTGACGACACTGACAACGTAGCTTTTAAAAGTGCACTAGTTTTACTTTGACAGACTTCAAGCTGGAGAAACTCACTTTTTGAAATGTTGGTTCTTTGTGATTTTGACCAAAATAAGTATGAATTTAATGTGATGTGAAAGTACGGAAGATGTTTTGTGTCATCAGATTTGGAATTTTAAATAAGCTTGAATTTTTTCATTTGTAATTTTTATCCCTGAAAAATCATGTTTGAATATTTTTTTTTTTGCGCTTCAGTCATTAAAAAATCAGTTTACAAATTTCGATGTGATTAAAATTTTAAAATGACATATTCACTTTCAAAATATTCAATATATATTTTTTCAATGAAAAAAAAAGAAAAACACGGATAAATTGTTCCATCAGACATTTACATTGAAATGGACCTGAATTCATCTATTTGACAGTAGGGCTGGCATTTAGGCAAAATATAAGATTAAATTCAACTTATATTTGCATAACCTTATATTACAGTTCCAAGTTCCAACCGGACCGTTGACTTTCCAATTACTAAAATGAATTAGCCGAAGTTCAATTTCTGATGCGTTCTCTGTACTTGGCCTACTGTTGGCTCCTCTCTACACAGTCCTACTTGTTAGTTGTTTGTGCTGAGTTGATTGCCGCACGATCTGAATCCCCGCATACATCTGCTGTTTGACCGCTGTGGATGAGTAAACACTGAGTTCAGAGTTTACTGTGCAGAAGGAAACAATCGCACCCTCGAGGCGTTTGACCAACCGGTGATTGTGGATGCCAAATGACCAAAACACTGTGAAGCAGGAGAATCCAGAATACACAAAAAGTGCATTATAATTGAGAAGGTACATTTCGTGTACATGGACAAACTGATTTTTTTCCATGTACACACAAATTTAGAAAGTTGCTAAATTTGTGACCCGACCTCATGTCTCTATTTAACTTGTGATGATGAAGCACTGTGATAAATCCAATACATTTTGATAATAACAATTCTACTAAACCTTTTGATGAAGTCCATAAACTGAAGGTTCTGATAATTGCCCTGGTTACATAAAAAACTGTGTATTTCCCTGCCCTTCCTTGTGTTGGCTTTTTCTACTGTTAACATGAACACACTACATCAGGAATGTGTGCTACATCATTTCATCGGCTTTGGAGATCAGCAGATGATGACTGTGTCCTATTCTTAGGCACAGCACAGTGGATAGCCGTTGTGCTCCACTGAGTTCAATTCCAAGTCCAGGCCTGGGTGGAGTTTGCATGTTCTCCCTGTGTCTGTGTAGGTTTACTCCGGGTACTCCAGTTTCCCTTACCACTATAAACATATACAGGTGTGACGATGAGACTACAGATGGAAATCAGCTGTTCATTAATAGACACTGTCCCATCCAGATAAATACAAATACATACATTAACCGCATCGCTACATGCCACAGTGTTAAAAAAGAAATTGAGGGTATTCTCAGCCTCTCCTGATGTTCCTCCCCTTTAATATTTACCCATTGACGCTGGGCCAAAGCTGAGCCGTCACTGGGCCAGACATGGACCACTTCTGTTTTATCAGGCCACTGGCTCACACATGGCATTGGTCATGTTTAGATGTGGCTTGTGTGTTGCAAATGAGTGTGAATCCTGTTCTTGCCAGAAACCTCTACTGTATTTGGGCCAGAGTATCGGTCATAGAATTTTGACATTGGTGAAAGAAAACAGTTCCAGAGGTGAGATGATTTTATTTGTTAAGCTCAAATGTCTTTGGTATATGTTAAACATTGTATGCCAACCAGGAACCAAACTCACTGGATAATATTGTTCTTAATCATTTTCAAATATTTCAGTTGTCATAAAGCATAAATATTTAGTCCATAAAGTCAAAATAAACAACCTTTATTTTAGCATTTTGCTTTGTACAATGGCTTTCATAGGTAAATGTTTTTCTCCATTCCAGATGTTACGCTTCAACAGATGCTTAGCAGAGTCTGAGATGGTCGGGAGTAAGATAACAAAATCATAATTGAATGAAACTCCCAAACTTGTATCTGTTTATTTTCCGCTCCAGGACAGTGCACAGTGCCTTAGATAACAAGGAAGGGATTCATATGATTATCCCAGTTACTCAGCCCATATTGTGTATTTGTGCAATTAATAATTAAACATGATTCAGGTCACAATTAGGGACAGAACGATAAGTAAACCGGGATAATTAAACTCTTCTTTATCAACACTGTGTGCTTGGGCTTCTATCTATCTATAAAAGCAAGGAACATCTGTTTGAGGGTATTGGGTGATGTCACAATGCAAATGGAATGGGTCTACAGTGTATAGATGGCCACTGTACTAGTTATATTCATGTATTTCACTTGGTTTGTGGTAGAAGCCGTCCTCGTGACAGGCAGTGGTCCACAAAGGAATTTATATCATAACGGTCGATCATGCAACGTCAATTATGATTCTTCTTTCAGCCCTTTCATGCCTGTCCTGTTACAGCAGAATCACTTCTTTCACCCAGACTGTTATCCTTTACCCTCTGTACAATAGGTGAGGGCAGAGCTAAGGTGCAGCACAAGCACATCTATGGTAAAAAGAAATGCCTTTGGTTACAGTAAGTATGAAGAAATACACACCTCTACAATATTCCATCATACTGTGGCCTTTCTGGTCAAGATTCTCAAGCCCTGGACGTTTCATCTCGTCCAATAACTTGTCACATAATGATTTAGATTTAATTAATATTACACATTTTGACAAAGTGCTTCAAACAATTCTCAAAAATTGTATTGGTTAAACTAAATGTAAGTATATAAAAGCTGGAGTACATAATTGCTGTTGTTGTTTCACACATTCATTTTATTTTCCCCAACAGAAAGAAGTGTCAAACCACAACAGTCCGTCTGTATTGTATTGGAAAACATTTTTTATCTTTTACATCGGCTGATTGGCTGAGTGAGGGCTGGTACTCTCTTTCTCACTGAAAAGGCTGATTTAAAATTTTACATAGGCCAAAAATACAAAATATTCTTAGAACCAAACTGTTTTTGCTCTAAAAACAGACATACATAGTTAATTGTTTGTGGTTTCAAAGTCCATAGCTCCAAGTACATAAAGGTGATCACATGCTAGAATTAAAGCTGCACTAACTGACTTTATTTTTGTATTCATTACGAAAGTGCTATCCATGTCCATGTAGCGCATTGGGATATACGTCCTTTTGAAGAAAAAGTAGCGCAGGTTTGTGCTGGCGTGACATTATATTTTAGATCGAGTTTTGATGAAACAAGGAAGAGAATGTGTTTCGGGTCGCAGATTGTGACCAATCACAGCGCACCACTAGCCCCCACTTTCGTGAGAAATCTACAGGTCTCCGTTAGCACAGACAGCTGAGTTTGCACAACAAGCGGCGGAGCTAACCTGAAGCTTTGTGCGTCACCGGTTACTGCTTACTTAGCGAAACAGCCATCCAAAAGAAAGTCCCGTTCCTCCGCGCTTCCCGGTTCTATTGTTCTATGGTCACGCCATCCACGTGCAAATCCATATCCATGTAATTATCCATATTGGGAGACGCTAGCTCCGTCCCAACAGTGGGTGTGTGGGGGGCGATAGCTTCGTGGGTGCGGGGAGGGGAGCAGAAAGAGAGAGGCCAGCGAGTCCGCGGCTTCAAAATCCCAGTCAGTTAGTGCAGCTTTAACAAGTGAATATGAACGGGGAAAAAAACAATAAAATACATTTCAGTGGTGCTTGGTCATGTGGATAATTGTAAAGACGCATGGTTGGTTAAGACAATAATGTGCGACTTGTCCTGTGTCTCCATGTTGTTACCTGGATGTGCGTGTGATAGAAATGTGCGTAATTAATCGGTCCATGTCTCCTGTCAACAGTGACCGGGCCAGTGTGCAGGACATGTTCCCTAAGTGGCTTCTCCGTCACTGCATAGAAGGAAACATGGGAATAATGACATGTCATCTGATAATGGCACGCTGCTGATGAACCAGTCCCATAATGGACTTTTAATTAATGCTGGTGTGTTGGCGATGGTGCTGATGTCTGCAGAGGATGCTGGGTAATGCTCCACTCCAATGGCCCTTTAGATCAGCGCAGATCAAGCCAAGGCCACTACCCAGATAAGAGCCCTTCTAGGTGTAGCCTTTGTCCAAGTCCGGTCAATGCAATTTAAGGTGAGTTTTCAAATAATACACAATTCAAATAATAAATAGTACACTTCAAAAAACAACATGCTCCAAAAAATGTATGACTTTATTTTGACCCTTGTACACCAAATATGAGATTAATATCTTGTTTTGTTTTACTATTTTATTACTTTCTAGTTTGTTACTTCCTGTTATACAAATATTCTTTATCCTGCAAACACTTTATTGTGACATTAAGATATGTATTTTTGACACGCTTATGTCTAAGGTTAAAGATTGAAAGCATATGTATAAAGAGCAAGATTCCATCAAAAGCTCGCTGCAGCGTAACATTATGACCTTTGGTGTAACATTTGCAGCTTCCATACTGTATGTTTAAAATGTAAATATCACTTTGACTGCTATCATTGCAGTATTACCTTAAAGTCTTGTTATTTTCACATCCAACAGAACATTCCCACATGTAGCTTACAGCTTTCAAAGTCTGTGAGAATTTGGCTTTTGAAGCGGTAACGAGATCACAGCTTTGCACTGAATAACAAATAGAGGAAATGTACAGCGTGTTGGTGTGTTTTGAAATGACCTTGAAGAATCACTTTCTGAACATGTGTCCTATAACCTTTGCATCTCTATGAGCCTCCTTTGTTTGTGTTTAGATGAGTATCAATTTAAAAAGGATGACATCTTCTCTTTTATAAATGAGGCAAAAAGACATGCTGTCAAGCTCAAGCAACATCACTGTCTGTCAGATACCTCTACACCAGGGGTGCCCAAACCTTTTGCTTCCAAGGGCCAAAGTAAAACTTTGCCAGTCGGCCGCGGGCCAAATACACCAATATTATGCATGAAACACAAATAAATGTAGATTTGATCAAGTTCTTTTCAATGCATTAATTATTGTCTATCAGTGCAAATCACAGCTGAATGAATGAAATCAACACAGTCTTAGTGAAGTGGAGACTCCAGGGAAATATGCAGGTTTGAGGAGACTACAGTACGGAAAGATTCCGGCCGGGTAATCAGGGTCCAGAGGAGGGAGATTTTCTGTCATGGCTTATTTACAGCTTAAAATCATATAATAAAACCTCAAAAAGAGAACAGAAACATACATTTTGTGTGCACCATGTGCAATTGTATATTGTAAATAGTAACTGTAACTCTATTTTAAATTTAAATTTATTCCTTAGAAGTGTTTTTTATTCTTTATTTTTATTATCTCTGTTGCACTGAGCCAAAGCAATTTCCAAGTCTATTTTCATATATTTATTTTGAACAATTAGTAGTGAACTGAATATTAAACTAACAAAATCAGACTAGTTAACCATGATTTGTTCCTGGAGTTTTGTTTTGTTTTGCCTAAACACAGTACAACATTCATAAACAATCAAAACAAAGTAACTGTTAACTCACTGACTGCCAGGCATTTTCAGATTTGAGAAGTGCGTTCTGCCAGCAATTTCAGGTGATTTGACCCAACTTTGAAGTGCCACAGAATATTCATTTTTTAGACGATGTAAACACCAAGGGCACCAAATTAAAGATTAACCTCTCTGCTTTACTCTGAAAAAAAAAACAGTTTGTTTCTACCTCTTACCGTTCTTGAGTTATTCGCCATAGAACAAAGCATACTTTCACCCACAACACCTGGTCTGAGCAAGAAAACAGAGAAAAGGAGCTGTATGTAAACAGGAACATATCAAGCAGAAAAGAGACTTTTAGATGCATTTTTGATGCTTTAGTGACAACTCAAAACATCTTCACACTTGTTCCATTACAAAAATTATAAAAACATGACTCTGAAATAATACTTTTGATGGCAAATTGTTGGCAATTTATTCACAGATAGAAAATTTAACTTTCTTCTATTCCATCAACCAAAACGTCAAACAACAACAACACAAAGATCAATAAAACTATAGCTGTATAAAATAGAATGAAGCATGTGAATGTGTGAATGTCAGTGTGCGAGTGAGTGTCTGTGTGTGAATGTCAGTGTGCGAGTGAGTGTCTGTGTGAGTGAGTGTCTGTGTGTGTGTGAGTGTTCGTGAGTGCGTGTATGAGTGAGTTTATCTGCTTTTTCAGTCCTCCCAGTAGTTCAGCTTTGAGTTGTAGAGGTTGAAACACTGTGTGCAACGGAACACGACACGATGTGACATTTGTAGTTCTCCCTCCGTGAAGAAGAGCTCCAGAAAGTCTGGATCAGATGAATCCAGCTCCAGAAAGTCTGGATCAGATGAATCCAGCTCCAGAAAGTCTGGATCAGATGAATCCAGCTCCAGAAAGTCAGCTGGATCAGATGAATCCAGCTTCGCAGCCTCTGTCCGCAGCCTCTGAGGTCCAAGAGCCCCTGTGAAGGGCAACTGACTCGGCTCCCACTCATCCTCCTGTCAGCCATCTTCCCCAGAGCTTCTGGGTGACGAACGTGCTGGAAATTGGATACACACAATAAATATATTATACAGTGAATTTGTTACAATAAATCAATACATAAAATACAATGAAGGCCTTCCTCCCACATTATTATTATTATTATATTATATTGCCATGGGATGTACAAGAATAGAAATAGTAGTTCTTTTACCTTTTTTGTGCACAGCAACTGCCTCTTGATGCACCACCTGTAAATAATATACATTTGTAAATCACTATACCAGGAGAATATATACAAAAATATGTACAATGGTATGAGGAGGAATCATCTTTACCTCCATGCCCTGTCAACCCCAATGGGGGAGGGCTCTTTTATCAGAATCTGTGAATGAACACATTTCATTTAGTCAGAGCTATGTCACTGCAACAAGATGTTCAAGTATGAAATAACTACACATAAAAATAATAAATACAACAATGATAAAACGCATAACTGGCATTTACTAAAGAAACAGTAGGATTTGAGCGCTGTGTTACTTAGCAGATCAGAGCAAGTTTCAGCGCCTTTCCCTCCTCTCAAGTTAGCATATTCTTGGCAATTTAGCAAGTTCTTACCTTCGACTCTTTGTGGAGCTTCTGGAGAGGATGCTCTGCTGGATTGAGACTGCAACCACTCATCCGATAAATCATGATCAGGTTTGCTGAACGAATCCGAGGCATCAGTAACAGCAGCAGCTGATACGCTGCGAGAGGCGGAAGGTGTGTCCCTGCTCCGGGCTCTGGGCTGCAGAGACGGACCTCCACCGGGGTCTCCACTCTCTCCCCTCTCGACCTCACTCACTGATCCGCGAGTCAATCTCTGAAGCAGTGTACACTGCTTATAACTATTCTTTTTCGCCATCACTCTTGCTATACTATCGCTAAACTAGATCGCTGATCCGTCTCAATGCTACGCTATCATCGCTCTGCTACAGCAGCTCGCTCTCCAAACACTCCCACACTCCTCCTCCTTCTCTCCACTGACTTATGACCTCTCCTGTGGTGCAATACTGCATCCTACTGGTGTTGATTTATCATTACAGGTACATTTGCACTATATATCAGTATTGTGGGTCATTCACAAGGTGCGCCAGACATTACTGTAGCCTCCCGTGTGATAACACGAAAAACTCGTCAAACTCGTCATGGGCAGTGAGCGTTACTATTCAACATGACGAGTTTTGTCGTCATGGGCAGTGAATGAGTTAAAGAGTCCGAGTTTCCGCTCCTCCAAAGGGCTCTTGAACGCATCATAAAACTCCGCGTAATGGGCTCGACACACGGGAGGCGACATCGCATCGCCTCCATTCATTTTCAATGGGACGTGCGCGACATAGCGTCAATCGCTAGCGAGCCTCCTGCTCAGCGACGGGCGAAAAACGTGCGTGTGAAATCCTCCCGCTCGTGCATGTATCGCGCACGCGCAGGTCAGCGACGCGATCCCAGAAAGTTGAAATTGGCTCAACTTTTCGACGCTGTCGTCAAGCCGCATCGCGCCCCGTCTGTCATGTTATCTGAGCGACAGCGTTGAGTTTCGCTGATCGCTCTCATTTGTCGCCTGCCGTGTGTCGAGCCCTTAAGTTCTGACATTCAATGATCGCGAGTGAGGACGGTGCTTACCGGCTTCTTTCATGGGGTTGTAGAAGGGTTTGTTTTGCACGGTATTTGTTGCTTCTACTTGCGTGGATCGTGCGCTGCGATCCCTGCTTGTCCTGCTTGAACTCAGGCCCCGTCCCAATACTCGCACTTCCACCCTCGCGCCCCTCATTTGCGCGTTCCCGATAAAGGGTGCGAGTGCGTAGGATGTCCCAATTCTCCAGGGAGGTATTTGGCCCCGCCCCCTTTGCGCCCCTGATCCACACTTCCCCGTAGCCTGCATCTATGCACACTCTGGCGAAGGATATTGCCCATAATTCTTTGCGGTACACACCAAAACGTCGGGAAAATGCATTTAAATATAAATTTTGAAATATATATGCAGTATGTGTGTAAATAAGTTTTGCTATGTTACTTGGAAAGAAGCATAAACGTTTGATGAAGAATTACGGACATTGTGTTTTAACAATTTAATAACTTTTTAAAGCAAGCGTTTATATAACATTCAATTTAAACTTTACACTTAGTACAATAATCTTAGAATGTATAAAAACTGACCAGATAGTTAGTTACCCACATTTAACTTAAAATTATACAGCTATCTCTAATTAAAAACAACTAATATACATGTATTTTAACGTGTGTGAAGCAATTCATTTTGTTTCCCAAAGGGTCAGACAAAGTTACCTTTAATTTTTATAAAGTTTAGGTCTGAAAATGACCATCTCTTGACGAGTCGATGACGTAACCTGCACTCACTGTGCACTGTCCCAATTCCGCCTTTTTTGCACAATTGTAACCTGCGCACTCCAACCCTGGTGTGCACTTCGAACAAATGCACACTTCGTAGAAGTGTGTAGGGTGCAGTGTGGGTATTGGGACTGGGCCCATGGATGTATTATATTAACTGGATAGGGTATTACTAGCTTGTAGCTGAATAACTCACGTGCTCAGGGGATTCTCGCGGTACTGCAGACTGAACCAGACTAAATTCACGTGGGCTACCCAGAAATTTTCCCCATAGAACTCAATGCATATTAAAACAGCTCAACCTCAGCTGACAGAGAACCTACAGCTTTAATAAAGATCGGATTTTGTGGGGATTTTAGTGTCCCTTGTCATCCTGAACTTTTTTTCTTCTTAAATCCTTCGGTTTTGTTTAAATCCACACTTTAGTGCCACAAACTCTGCTCGTCTGGCTCTCGCTCTAACTCCCGCTCTAATGAACTGCTCTGATTGGTCAGAGCGCGGCCGAGCCCCTCTGTGCACGTGCGTGAGACCCGGTGTGAGACCCACACACGCGTGTTTGGCGCAACGCATTATGGGAGATCATCCACTGCACAGAACCGGGAGGACCAGACGATGCCCAAATACAGGCGAGTTTCCCATAGATCTTTGCGAGTTTCAGGCAACTTCCGCTAATCTTTCAGACCCCATGCTGTCACAAAGCGCCACTGAGCACAACCATTCATTTGAATAGGGCGCCATCTTGGATCGCCGGGGCTTGACTGGGCCTCAGGCCCAGTCCCAATACCCACACTGCACCCTACGCCCTCCTATGAAGTGTGCATTTGTTTGAAGTGCGCGCAAGGGTTGGAGTGCGCAGGTTACAAGTGTGCACAAAAGGCGGAATTGGGACAGTGCACACTGAGTGCAGGTTACGTCATCGACTCGTCAAGAGATGGTCATTTTCAGACCTAAACTTTGTCTGACCCTTTGGGAAACAAATTGAATTGCTTCACACACGTTAAAATACATGTATATATTAGTGGTTTTTAATTAGAGATAGCTGTATAATTTTAAGTTAAATGTGGGTAACTAACTATCTGGTCAGTTTTTATACATTCTAAGATTATTGTACTAAGTGTAAAGTTTAAATTGAATGTTATATAAACGCTTGCTTTAAAAAGTTATTAAATTGTTAAAACACAATGTCCGTAATTCTTCATCAGACGTTTATGCTTCTTTCCAAGTAACATAGCAAAACTTATTTACACACATACTGCAGATATATTTCAACATTTATATTATAATGCATTTTCCCGACGTTTTGGTGTGTACCGCAAAGAATTATGGGCAATATCCTTCGCCAGAGTGCGCATAGATGCAGGCTACGGCGAAGTGTGGATCAGGGGCGCAAAGGGGGCGGGGCCAAAGACCTCCCTGGAGAATTGGGACACCCTACGCACTCGCACCCTTTATCGGGAACGCGCAAATGAGGGGCGCGAGGGTGGAAGTGCGAGTATTGGGACGGGGCCTCACTCTGAAGTGTTTGTGTCCGTCCTTTTTAACACACCGGGTGGGTGCGGATTGCGCAGGTGAATAGTTCCACTCGCCATTTCCCTCCGGTGAGGAGGGGGAGTGGCAGTTCGGCAGCACAATCCTCTCAATTTGATAAAACATTAAATAGCTCCAAAAAATAATAATAGTAGGCTGAAAAAAAGAACATAAAGGGGCCTTGCACCCAATTGTTTTGAAAGATGTGTTTGATTTTAAAAAACATTTTAGTGCAAGTTGATGTGAACCATGAGTGAGGAGTGTATCTCGATACAACAGTAAAGTACTGGACAGTTTCCGTTTAGAGGGCATTTGTGCGCCTGCGCGATCTCAGACATGGCACTGTTTGTTTAGCGAGGCAGAGGGACGCAGATAGAAACTTATAGCGGAGGTGGGCAATGTTTGGCGGGCCAACTGAAATGGTCTGGCGGGCCAACTTTGGCCCGCGCGCCCCACTTTAGGCACCCCTGCTCTACACAGATATTAGACCTTGCACCATGAAACTATGTCATCCATTTTAACTTTAAATGGCCAATTCAGACCAAAGGGCTGCAATTTGTATTTGTACATCAACAGAAAACTTATTTTGTCAAGTTGTAGACACCACCTCAATTTACCGTGGCTTTGAAGTAGAATATTAATGAAGAAATCATCTACAAAAATGTATGATTGTTTACAAGCAGCATGTTTATTACTGTTTGTCTGTTTGTGTGGCATGATATTGGAAGTGTGAATCGCATAATGTTTCATGACCGCTTTGAATAACTGAGGTCAATACACTGGTAATGTGTAACCACTTAATACACTTATGCAAAGGCAAACTCACTGTAGGAATGTATTTTTGTGTCAGACACAAATGCAGACCCTGGAATTCACACAAAGATCGTCGTCAAAGCAGAGAAAAACAAACACATCTATCAGTCGGCTACGTGCCACTAAAGTTCTGAAGTTGAGTGCAAGTCGAGTTGGTATCCCCAAAAGGACGTTTAAATAATGCTTCTAACTCCTCCCTGAGACTTGCAAAGATTATATATATGGAGCTTCTAAAAGAATACGAATGGACACATGTGCACATACTGTACATACATGCACAGATCGCCTGCGTTATCCAAGCCTGATGACTGTATCCATGTGTTCAACAGAAAAACTTCCTTCTACTTTAAGAATTCTGTCTGATATTCCTTTTTTCATTGATTCTTTTACAATATTTCTTGTCCAACTTACAAGCCAACAATTTATGAGCAGTTTGGATTAGGGTCTAGACCATGACTGCACTCACTTTTGGTAATTAGGACCCATGCCTGCTCTTGAAGATAAGTATGGGTCGTCTGGTTAGTGCTTGGATGAGAGCCTGTTGAGTACAAGGTCATACAGTGGAGCGGCAGTGGATGTAGTGCACATCGATATTTCCCCTGGGAAGACAGAGAATCAGAACACCAGCTTTGATTACGGGGGTTAGAGTCTGATTTACCAAAATTATATAAACATGTTTGCCTCATGCAACCATGTAAACTTATTACAACTGAGACAAGACAAGCAGATGTTTGACAAGACAAGAATATAAAATCATACAAGCCATTAAAACCATTAAAACCATAAATAATCACAATACAAGAGTGAAGATGCAAGTTCACTTCAGATTGATTCTGTTGAGCTCAGAGCAATACTACATACAGTTGATAAAACGAAACAATACAATGTTTGTTGAAGTGATATAGAGCTCAAAAGGAGTGGGAGAAGTTTAAAACAATACTCATAATTGCCTTCCCCTTACCATCCTGTTTACCACAGCTAAACAGAACTGTTGTGAACATGGTCAGAGTAGAGGTCACACATTTTCAGGAAGACTGCTCCTGGTTGTATCTGCATAGATCCGAAATGGTGCCTCCCCATGTTTAGTTGTGAGTCTGGCACCAGCAGGAGGCCAGTCCCTGTGCTCCTCAGAGTCTGAGTTGGTTCATATGGCACGAACATGTCTTGTACTTGTACACAAACAGATCTGTTTTAAAGTTTTGAAGCTACTGTGGTTAAAGCTGAACTCCTCATCAGGGCAGTATACACAAGCTGGGGATTTTCCACTTAAATGTTTTGGTTATCTGAAAGTCGAACTAGCACAACACCATCACAAGGAGGAGGACCTTGATTCCTCTCGTTAAAATCCAATGCATTCTGAAAATCTTTGGATGTGTCTCTTCTATCAATAAATGTCTTCTGTCTGTGACACGACCCCAGACCCCATGTCATTTTCTTCTGTCTCTTCTTCAATCCACAGGAAACCAGTGCAGAGACCTGAACACAGGACTAATACTTCATCTTCATCATTGCAATGATCCCTCACTGTGTTACTGTAGCCAAAATTAGATAGACCTTTATTGGAAATTCATTTCCACAGACAATGTCACATACATGGAACACAGAAGAAGGAAATCATAAATTACAAAACGATACACATTTTTTTCTTACAATTGAATTTTGAGTAAAGAGTGACACAATCCCATTCAAAACAAAAACACGAATGGTGTATGCCTGATATCGGGTACAGTACAATAAGTACAACAAGTCAATCTAAAGGTATTTGAGATTATCTACTTCCAGGTGGATCATCAAGACTATTACTTTTTTTTTTTTTTTAAGTCTAGGGAGAGATCGTGATCTCGGGAGGGCAGAGAGAAGGACAGTAGAGGTCGGATGGATTTGGCGCTTTTCGGACGGCCTGGTTGATGAATGGTGGTTCAGGACTTGAGGTATTATGAGTCTGTAGGTGAGGCGATTTTGTCGGGAGGTAGGCGGAGAAGCCGTGGAGATGAGAGCGAGGATCTTGGTTCCGGGATGCTATTGACGGGAGGAGGATGTGAGGAAGGGTGTAGAGCGTTCGTGAGTCTCGACGTGTCTACGTCCTTGAATGGCGCGGATCGAACTGAGGGAAGTATTTAGCGTGGAGCGAGGATCGAGGTTCGACTTTGTTTGGATGATGGTTGTGAGGAGAACGGAGAATGAGAGATGAAGTGGTGAGAGTGGCTCGTGATTTTGGAGAGAGTGTGTGACCGCCTGCCTGAGAGAGTTGATAGGACTGATGGGTTTGATGAGGCTGTGAGGAGTTTGGAGCGCTTGAGGAGAAGAGGGGTGAGTGAGAGGAGAGAGTTGATTGGGGGGGGAGGAAGGGATCGATCTTGAGTCTGAGAGAGAGAGAGATGGAGTTTTCTTTGTGTTTGTGCTAGGGCCTCGGTGTTGATGGCCGAGCGGAGGAGACGAGAAAGAGGGGATCGAGGGGTCTGGGGGGTGAGGTCATGACGACCGAGTTATCTCGATTCGGCTGCCGAGGACTCGTGAGTTGGGGACTATGAGGGCGTTGGTCCGCGATGAAGAGGGTATCTCTGTAGCTCGTGTCTTTTGGATTGAGGATGGAGCACTGGTATTCCGTGGAGTCGACTGAGGTTTCTGACTAAGGTGAAGAGAGTTGAGGTTTGAGGGAGTTCGGACGAGAGGATGATCTTGCGGTATGTGCTGGGGGATACAGTGGGAGAGGAGTCTTCTTTGACCTGCTTGTAGAGACGAGAGTACCCGAGTGATTTTGTAGGTCGCCCCGAGACGGGAGTTCATGGACTTGAGGATGGCGAGACGAGAGGCGAGGGTACTCATGATGTGCACGGGGTATCTCGGGGACGCGAGGAGAGGCCGGCTTCTGCGGGGGGAAGGGTGGAGATCCGAGAGTGAGTGAGGTGATTTCGGTAGCTGAGGGAGGACATAGGCGAGAGAGAGATTTCTGAGAATGGTGGTACTGAGAGAGTAGAGCATGGAAGAAGCGGGGGCCTGGTGGTTTGAGCGGGTGTCTGAGCCGAGATTGAGTGTTAGACCGAGATTGACGGGTGTGACGTGGTGTGTGATGGATTTCTCCTTTATGTGGTCGGTTTGAGTATTTGAGTCTGAGGGATGAGGTTGGCCTTTGAGAGGGCGATCCAGGTGGTGTTGAAGTGAGGTCTGCAGGACGAGGTTAAGTTGGGCTTGGGCTGGGTGTCGATTGTGCGGAGTGCTCTGGATTGGTGGGAGCGCATGTATGTGAGTGTGAAGGTTCTGACCGGAAGGGCAGCCTCATGTTAGAGGCTGGACTTGGGGCGGAGAGCGAAGTGACGGGCGAGGAGAGTCGTTTCGCGACGGGAGTGGGTATGCATGGAGATATGTGAGATTGAGTTGTAGGATGATGAGAGAGTTGCGGCGGAGAGCAGAGAGGGGTTTTGGGATTACGGAGATGGGCAATTACTGAGTGGGTTATGATTAGGGGGAGGATGAGCGCGGAGGACCACCCTGGCGATCGACGTTGTGGGTCGGATGTTGCCCGCTGGCCTAGTTGATGGTGAGACGTGTCGCGTTCGGACGTTGAGGTGATGGAGGATCTTGCGATTCCAGACATTGTGAGATGAAGATGAATGGAGGCTGGAGTGGAAGGGAGGGATAATCGACGGAGAGTAGAGTGTTGGTTGAGCTGAAGGAGGATCTTGATGTTGAGTCGAGAGAGGTGATAGGACAGAGTATTGGAGAGGTTTGGGAGGGAGGATTATACGAGGACGGAGTGAGATGAAGAGGAAGACGGCCGAGAAGGAGGGGGGGAACCGAGAGTGAGGTAGAACGGGGGGAGCTCGGAGACGAGGTGGAGAGCGGATGGGGAGAGTAAGAGGACGTGAGGGAAATGCTCCGAGTGGAGAGATGGAGGGCGCTGGGCGTTTAGTCGGTCGAGGGAGTAGGGAGCGAGGGCAGGTGAGCTTTTTTCTTTCTATGTGTTTTCTGTACACTTTTGGACGGGGTATTTTGTGAAGGGGGTGGGTTTTGGGGGTTCTGGCAAGGGATTGATCTTGAGAAGAGGATAGAGGTATCGGTGCCAGGGGGTATCGTGGTTGAGGAAGCCTCGGATCGGAAGTCGTTAAGAGGGCTGTAGTTGATGAGGAGGGGTAATCGCGGGTGGGCGGAGATGGGGCTGATTGATCCTGGAGACCCTCGCGAATTTTCGTAGGTTTAGCAGGATTAGAGCGCCGTGTTCGAAGTAAGCTCGGCGGCTGAGAGAGTCTGTTGATGGAGGAGGGAAATGGTCATTGGTTGGTTTGGAGCGAGAAACCGATCAGTGTGATCTGGGTGATGGGCGCCTAGCTTTCTGTCCGCGATGTTGATTGGTGTGCACGGCGCTGTCGGAGATAGACCGACGTAGTTCGAGTGTGGGGAATCGACCATTCTGATGAGCGAAGAGAGGGCCTGATTGGTCGTTTGGTTCCTTATTCCTGTAGGTGACGACGGATTGTGTTGGTTGTGTTTGGTCCGAGTGATCCGAGCGCGGATGGGCTAGTGGAGGGGAAGAGAGAGCTGTTTGTGTCGAGAGGATAGATAGAGACGATGTGGGTTCGACATGAAGAATTGGGAAGGGTAGAAGCGATGTGAGGGGGGGGGAGTTAGGCGGGGGAACTCTAGGGGAGGGAACTGGGAGAAGAATCGAGGGGAGTGGGGTGCGCGTATTTTGCCGTGAGAAGAGACTCGATTTTGGGGATTGAGTTAGTGGGCAGGATGGGTAGAGAAGGAAAGGAGAGAGGGGGAGTGGTGACGGTACTAGGAGAGAAGAGAATGATGAGATGATGGGGGGGGAGGGATGATGGGAGTCACACTGGCTGATATTTGAGGGAGAAGGAGGAGGTGTGTTTAGAGTCGTGGAGGTCCGAGACCGTGCGTTCGATATCGACTTGAGATGGTGCCGGGGGAGGGAGAGCTGCGTCGGGTGAGAGAGCCTGAGTGGTTTCTGAGTTCATGGGCGAGAGTGAGGCTTAGCATGGTAGTTGGTTCGGATTAGGGCTGGGCGAGAAAGGGTGATGGGGGAGAGTGGAGGGATGGGGACGATGCTGACGGATGGTGTGCAGGTAACCGTGGAAGGATGGAGCCTTGTACTGTGGTTGGTTCGAGATTACGGATGAGTGAAATGAGCGAGACGACGATCGGAGAGAGACTTTTGAGAGAGGAGTAGAAGGAGACGGGGAGGGTGAGGTGGAGGGAGAGAGAGAGAGGGGTGTGACTTTTAAGCTTGGGTTGCGGTGACGGGTAGAGACGGGAGAGAAGATAGAAGGCGAGAGAGTGGGATTTGAGTGATGGCTTGTTGACTGAGTGACGGGAGTTGTGAGTGCGGGAGGGTCGAGATGATTTCGAGATATGATGAAGCCATGCGAGTAGCTAGTTGAGTTATGTGCGACGGGACGAGGTGCAGAATGGAAGTGGTGCTGCCCGAGTTGGTACGGAGGAGGATTGGTTGAAGTGGTGGGAATGATTGTCCTTTGTGGAGCGTCTTTGGATGAGAAAGATAGCGGTACACAGCTCCTGACGATGTTGGAGTGGGCTTTGATTGTGGGAGCTGAGATTGGAGTTTTGATGAGAGAGAGGGATTACAACGGGGGGTACGGGAGAGCGAGGTGTGAGGGGAGTGAATTGAAGATGAGTGAAGGGGGAGTTCTGTAGAAAGAGTTGAGATCTGTGAGCGGTTGAGGAGAGGGTAAGGAGACGAGGGATCTAGTTTGTGGAGAAAGGCGGAGTACGATAGAGAGAGCTTAGAGGATTGGAGACGGGGTGCTCGATTTAGCTTAAAGAGGAGTTGTTAAGCGGAGGAGGAGGGTGGGTTGATTCCGCGGAGGGTTGGAGAGGCCGACGGGTCATGACTGCCGGGAGTTGGGGTGAGAGACTAGAGGGTGGGAGGAAGGGTTGCGACGCGGGATGTCAGAGAGGGAGGCAATGAGATGGTACTTGAGACGGTTGGATGGAGGAGATCTTGCGCGATAGCTCGGAGGAGAGGTTGAAGGCCTGTCTTGAGGTTGCACGTGTTTGGAGACTTCGAGGAGAGAGGGATACGTGAGTCTGCTTGGAGAGAGAGGTGTTTTGAATAATGGTGAGATCTTGGGGTAGGACGAGTTGATGCGATGCGGGGTAAGGTGAGCTCGGTGGCGGATGGGTCTTAGCGTGCGAGGGAGGATGTGAGAGAGTGTGGATTGCGGAGTACGGAGGGAGAGAAGGCTAAAGTCTGGGCGATGCGATAGGATGGGTGGTTGACGGTGAGGTGGGGGGTTTCGGAACGGAGTTTGCACCGCGCGGATGGGTTAGGAGGTTGTAGAGAGGGCGAGACGAGAGACTGCGGATGGGGACGCTCCTGGCGAGAGAGAGGCATGAAGAGTGCTATGTGAGAGGGGAGTTTTGAGGGGATTGCCTGAGTCTGAGAGGTACAGAGTGTACAGGAGATTGTGCTGAGTCGAACGACGGGTGTGGTAGTGGCGTGGCGGGAGGGTGCGAGGTGAAGTAGGAGAGTTTAGGTGAGGTTTCATTGGATGGTCCTTGACGTCGCTGGGAGGAGGGATTGATTGAGCTTTGGAGGAGAGGTTTTGGAGGAGTGTGCGAGGGATTTATGGGAGACCGAGAAGATTGGGACGAGCGGGCGAGGGTGGATTCTGAGAGTTGATGGGCATGCGTGAGTTACCGGATGTTTGACGAGTTGAAGGAGAAGAGAGACCGACCGATGTGTGGAGAGTTGCGAGATGAGAGGAGAGAGCTGAGTAGGAAGAGGTGAGATGGAGACCGGGAGAGTTGCTGCTGTATCCTGAGAGGGAGAGCGAGGGGCGAGAGAGTTTGACGGTTCTGAGAGGTCGAGGTCGTGCTGGGTGAATCGGAGAGAGTCCTTGGGATGAGTGGTGAGGGTCCTGGGGATTCTGCGAGTTTTGGTGGTCGGAGGCTGAGTGAGGTGGATGGTGAGCGTTGCGAGTTTGGACCCGAGTGAGCCGATGGTGTCTGAGAGCGAGTTCCGAGGGATGAGAGGGCGGGTGATGTTGCCGCATGGTGAGAGGGAGGGGCTTCCGGGGTAGCTGGAGCTCCTGAGACGTCTGGGCGATGATGGAGGGTGGGTGACTAGTGACGATGATGTGGGCGAGGATTGTGATGGGAGTTTCGTTTGATGGAGGGGGAGGGTACGGGAAGAGGCGTAGGGTCGAGGAGGGACCGAAGGGAGGAGTGAGATGAGAGAGAGAGTTGACGAGAAAGAGAGAGTGGGGACGTGCGAATAGATGCTGGGAGTCTGAGAGTTGAGGCCTGAGAGGTTTGAGCTCGGAGAGACGAGTGTGAGATACGAGAGACGAGACGTAGCGAGTTCGGTCGAGTGGGTGGGAGATGAGAGGACGGGACGCCTGCGATTTCTGGCATGGAGGACGGAGCCCGAGAGTGCTCGGCTGCAGAGGCTGCCTGTGTTTTCGTAAGTGTGAGTACTGGTAGGGGTGGGGTGATAGATGAGATGAGTGCGAAAGCTAGAATTTTTCTGCGATGAGGAGGTAGGATGGGAGAAGCGTTGGAGGGGAGGAGTTCCGGAGTTGAGAGATTAGATGACGTATTGAGAGAGTGTGATGAGGATGTCGCGGAGAGTTCTGAGATCGCGGGCTGACGTGAGTGAGAGAGGAGCGTAGAGTGGACTATTTTATGAATCGGGAGGAGATGGAGATGGTGGGTATCCGGAGGGGAGATGGTGGATGAGTGGGGAGAGTTGGGAGAGTTGAGTTGTGACAGCGGGGGAATGAGAGGCTGGAGACGAGAGACGAGTGCCGAGCATAGAGGAGAGAGGGGAGATGAGGAGGATGGTGAGGGACGATGGTGGGAGGGGAGCGGTTGGGGACGGAGATGTCGTGAGTACGAGTGGCTGCGGCATCGGAGACGGCGAGAGGAACGAGACGGGAGAGGAGAGGAGCGTAGGCGAGGTGGGGAAGGAGTGGAGATGGATGAGGTGGAGAGGATGAGACGAGTCAGTGGCGGAGAGGAGTGGTGACGGGAGGATGGCGTCAGCGGAGTAGGGAGGGGTGAGGCGGTAGAGACGGAGTGTGAGCTTGGAGGTCGAATGAGCGGACGGGATGATGGGAGGAGGAGATCGAGATTATGGAGGGGAGAGTTTGTATGTAGGAAGTGGGAGAATGGATAGAGGGGTGAGTGCATTTGGTGGGGAGACATGGGAGGGGATGGATGTGAAGAGGAGCGACAGAGAAATATGAGACGAGGGACGATTTAGAGGGTTGGTCGATGGGGGGGCCGGTGAGCGGAGAGACGAGACGTGAATACTCTTGGCGGGAGGGTGAATTGGTGGGACTTGGGGGCGGACTGGGGGCCGAGTGGAGAGAGTTCCCGGGAGGCGGGTGGAGGAGAGACTGGGGACTACGAGAGAGGTTGGAACCCCCGTGGTGCTGAGAGTTGGCGAGAGTGGGTGAGCCTCGGTAGATTGGATGAGAGATCTTGGCTCTCTGCGAGAAGAGTATGACGGGGTTATGTCGAATCCTGAGGAGTGGATGAGGTGGGGAGAGGGGGGTGGGGGTGATATAGTGCGACCTGCCGCGGGCGGACGGAGAGATATGTAGTTAGAGGGAGGAGTGCGGGAGGGGTCGTATGGAGAGTGATTGGTCGATGCGGTCCTGGGATTGATGAGCATAGAATTGGGAGTGAACGTGATTTGCAGATATGAAGAGAGGGGGGAGAGGTTAGAGCTGCGGAAGAGGATGGAGTGAAAATTGGCATTTCGGAGAGAGAGACGGAGCTGGAGCGTGCTTTGTGAGGAAGGGTGCGAGTGAGTGGGAGGACTGATGAGCGAGAGGATGAGGAGCTCTTGAGCCGAGTAGAGGAGGTTGAGAGTTGAGTGGGAGGGTGGGGAGTATGTCTGAGAGAGGGAGGAGGGAGAGGTGTGGAGGAGTCGATGCGAGTGAGTTAGGGGTGGGGGTGGGAGAGCATGACGAGGATACGTTTTTTTCCGTGGGAGAGGAGTGAGAGTGGGACGGCGAGCGGGGAGGACGAGAGATTGGACGGCCGGTGAGGTTGGAGAGATTCGGGCAGGGTAGATTGTAGATGGTAGACTGAGTTGAGAAGAGAGTTATGCGAGGTTGAGGGTTTTGGAGAATGAGCAGTCGTGGATCTGTGGAGAGGGATCGAGGGCGTGATTGGGGTTTCCATGCCGTTTCCCTTTTCTGCGGTGAGGGAGAGTTCGACGGTATCTGAATGGGAGTGAGAGAGAGGTCTGAGATGCGTTTTGGAGTTTTGACGTCAGAGAGGCACTTGGGTTGATAGAGAGATGGAGAGTGATAGAGAGAGATTGCAGTGTGACCTTTCCGCGAGGCCGGTTATTTCGAGAGTCACGGCCGTTGTGCTAAGGAGGTGCAGGGCGCTTGCTCTTCTGGCGGACTTGGAGAGGTATTGAGAGAGTAAATGAGGCAAGGGGGGGGAGGAGTAGGGAGGGAGTTTGGAGGAATGGAGAGTTGGGATTGCGTCGAGGGATGACGAGAGGGGAAGGAGATGGGGGAGGGGGGGGGGGCGAATGCGGATTTCTAGGGGTAGGGTGGAGGAGCGAGACGTTTCGATTGAGGTTCGGGCGTGTGGGAGAGCCTTGGATATGACCGATGGGATGAGGAGGAGATGGAGGGCTTGAAGATGACGAGTGCTGGAGTTGCGACATGACGAGAGGCGAGATGTTACAGGAGGATTTGTGGACTTGCGATGCCGGAAGAAGGAGTTTGACGGTGAGTCGTGATGTTGAGGGATTTTTTCTGAGGGTCCGACGAGGGACGTGTGATGACGAGTTGGTGATTTGATGAGCATGGTGTATGGAGAGTGAGAGAAGGAGCTGCGAGCGGAGGGATTGTGGAGCTGAGGGAAGTCTGGAGGTGTGAGATGTGCCCGCATCGAGTCCTTTTTGGGGACGGCTTGTGGAGAGAGGGGGGCGGAGTAAATTAGATGAGGTGCTGACGTGGTGATGTTCGTGAGGGAGAGAGAGTGAGGATTTGTGGGAGGAAGTAGATAGCGGAGATGTGGGATGCGGGCGTGGGGATGTTTCGAGAAGATGCTCTCCCTGTGTGGGCTGTGGGATAGAGTGAGTGTTGGGAGAGGAGTTTTGATATGTGGTCTGGATTAGGCTCTTAGAACGAGGAGAGAGAGAGATGGCCTGATGAAGAGGGATGACCTGGCCGAGTGTGAGGGGTTAGCGGTCGAGAGACGCGTATGACGGAGGAGAGGAGAGAGTGGGCTGGATCGAGTTTGGGAGAGGATGAGTGAGCGTCTCGTTTGGTGCGAGGCGGGAGGTATCTTAAAAGGTTGACGAGCCAGGATTGGTTTGTAGTTAGGAAGAGAGAGAGAGTCCGCTTTGTCGCTGAGTGTGTGTTGGTAAGGGAGGATGGGAATGAGGGGGCGTACCGATGTAATTGAGATGAAGTCGGGCTGATGACGTCGGATTTGATTCTACGGGTGCGGGAGATGGACTGAGTGAGAGTCGGAGATGCTCGCTTGAGGTTTCGAGATATGAGGACGTGCGTGAGCGAGGGTTGGGATTGGTGATGTGGTTGGAGGGCCACTGAAGTTTGCTCACAGAAGAGGTGTGCGGGAGTGGATTGTGGGGTGAGAGGATGGTTGAGGAGGCGACGATGTAGGGGAGGGTGTGTTACGAGTTGACGATGAGGGAGAGTGTCGAGGAGTAGTGGAATACGGTGTTTCTATGAAGGTGTGTGGCGGATTCGGTGTTTTTGTGAGGAGGAGAGAGGTTAACGAGATGTGGAGAGGGAGGGATATGACGAAGGAGATTGAGAGGGAGGGCGGAGGGAGGGTGGCGAATTCAGTCGGAGGAAATTGAGTGACGGGAGGCGACGCGGGTGTGAGACTGCGGAGGTGGATTTCGAGTGTTTTGATATAGAGATTGTGAGCGGGCCCGGGGAGGAGGGAATTACCGATAGGCGGTGGAGGGAGAGAGAGTATCAGTAGAGATATAGATTCTGCGACGAGAGTGAGAGGGATTTGGAGGAGAGGGTCCTTGAGGACGGCCTGCGAGAGGGGAGAAGTTTTTGGCTGAGAGCGGTGTCCGTGTTCGTGGAGGTGTTGGGGACAGCGACGAGAGAGAAGGGGAGAGATTGGAGATGGATCTGCGATTTACGTTGAGGAGGTGATGAAGCTGTGTGTGGGTGAAGCCGATCGGATGTTAGAGATGGAGGATGACTGAGAGGAGTTCGACGGTGCGAGGGGGGGTGAGACGTGAGCTGAGAGGGGAGATGGTGGAGGAGAGTCGCGTGGGGTTGTATCCGATTTGAGGAGGATTGAAGACGCGGGATTGAGGGTGAGAGAGGATTCGATGATAGGGTGGAGGAGAGCGCAGTGCGGCGGACGAGAGGGGGGGGGGGGGGGGCACGGAGGGATGATAGCATCTGAGGGGAGAGTTGGTGATGTTCGAGGGTGTTGGGTGTTCGATGGGATGGGAGAGAGGGATGTGGGATTTGTTGAGACTGTGGTGGAGCAATGCGAGAGTTGGAGAGGAGTGAGGGGACATCAGAGGAGAGTCTGGAGGAGAGAAGATTGCGAGAGAGAGAGGGGTAGTGTTGAGAGCTGAGAGTTGCTCCCGGCGATTGTGGCTGGGCTGAGAGGTGGGGTTGAAGAGGAGGAGGATTGGGGAGAGGAGGTGATGGAGAGGCTGGTGGGAGAGTTTTGTGATGGGACGTTTTGAGGCTGCGATGTCTGGGGACGGAGGAAGATATGAGGTCAGTCGGGGTGAGGACATCGGCGCTGCCGAGTGACCGAGATCTGAGGTAGGTGCCGGAGTCTTTCGCGATGTCCAAGAGGTAGAGTCGCTCCGGTAGCGGAGTTTCGTTGTCAGGAGGGGATTCTGTTGTTGGTTCGGAGAGTTATCGTAGTTTACGAGTGCGTGCTGTGGCGATGGTGAGGGAGGACGGGTTCGAATGGACGAGATACCGGAGATAGGGGAGAGTGCGGATGAGTGGCGAGGGTGGTGATGATCGAGTCGCGTGTTGCGAAGCTCGAGGGCTGGGCGGGGGGGGTAGAAGAGCGATGAGAGAGTTGTTGCGGAGGGGGAGAGAGGAGAGGAGAGGTGAGGTTGAGTGTGTAGAAGTAGAGAGCTGAGAGGGTGGTGGGGGTGATGGCAAGAATCGCGGCGGAGAGAGAGGTGAGAGGTAGAGGCGAACAGAGGGAGAGGGTGGGATGTGAGTGCTAGAGAGGACGTGGACTGGGGGGTGGTATGAGAGAGAGGTAATCGTGAGAGAGCGCGAGAGATAGGATGAAGGAGGGAGAGCGATGGGAGTTCGACGAGAAAGAGAGATGCAGAGACGAGATTGCTGTAAGCGAGAGGCCCGGGGTTGAGTAGAGGATGGAGGGAGAGAGAGAAGGGAGAGTGAGTAGAGGGCGGGGGAGGGATCGAGAGAGAGAGAGTGGAGATGAGAGGAGAGGAGATGGAGGGAGAGAGCAGTGGGAGAGTCGAGTGAGGAGAGTGGAGTGATGGGAGGGGAGAGAGCGAGGGAGTGAGAGTAGACGAGGAGGGAGAGAGAGGTGGAGGGTGGATGAGAGAGAGAGGGAGAGGGGGGGAGCGGGGCAGAGGTGAGATCCGGGAGAGTGAGAGAGAGAGGGAGAGGGAGAAGTTAGTGGGGAGGAGGACGAGTTAGAGAGAGGAGAAGAGAGGGGGAGGAGGGGAGGGGAAGGTGGAGGGGAGGAGGAGGTGGAGTGAGTTAGGAGAGGGCGGAGAGAGAGAGGAGACGAGAGAGGGAGAGAAGAGCGAGGAGGATGAGTCGGGAGTTGAGAAGAGAGAGCGAGGTGATAGGAGGAGGGACTGATGGACGAGATGAGAGTGCGAAGAGAGAGGGAGGGGATGATGGGAGGAGAGGGTGATCGGAGGGGAGGGAGGCGGAGAGTGAGATGGGGAGTGGGAGAGAGGTAGAGCGGGGGTGAGAGAGTAGGGAGAGGATGCGGGGAGGTGACTGGAGAGACGAGTTGAGGAGGAGAGAATAGGAGAGATGAGAGGAGAGGAGAGAGGGAGTTAGGAGAGTCGGGATGAGGGGTAAGGTTGAGAGAACGAGGAGGGGGGGATGGAGCGTGAGAGATGAGTGAGGGAGGGACGAGGTGGGAGAGCTGAGAGGAGAAGGGGAGGACGGATGTGAGAGAGGAGGGGGAGAGAGGAGGATCTAGAAGATTGTTGAAGGTGAAGTGGAGAGTTGATTGGAGGGGAGAGAGGAGGCGGGCTTGGGAAGGGAGTAGGGGAAGAGGGAGAGTGAGGAGAGAGAGAGAGAGGATGTCGAGAGAGAGCAGAGAGGAGACGTGCTGAGAGGGAATGGAGAGGAGTCGAGGAGATGGAGGGCTATGAGGATTGAGAGAGGTTGAGGGATGTTGCGAGTGAGAGGGGGGAGACGGAGGGGGCCTGAGCGGGGAGTGTGAGGATGCAGTGGAGGGATCGGAGAGAGGTTCGTGGGAGATGGGGTAGAGGGGCGAAGAGGGAGGCGGAGGAGAGGCGGAGAGAGAAGTAGAGGAGAGGGGGCTGGAGTGAGAGGGAGGGGACGAGAGTGGGTGGGCGCGTGGAGCGGGTCGGGGAGGAATGGAGGCAGAAGAGATGTGCGACGAGGAGGAGAGAGAGACGGGAGGCGGGACTTGGAGGAGGGAGTGAGAGACCGTGGAGAGGGAGGAGAGAATGGAGTTGGAGGGGGGATGAGAGGATCGGTAGATTGAGAGAGGGGAGAGAAGATGAGATGAGAGGTGGGAAGAGAGAGAGAGGAAGTGGAGAGAAGAGGGAGGTCGGGGGGAGAGCGTGGAGAGAGTGGGTGGGAATGATGGAGAGGGACCAAGTAGGTTGACGTCGAGAGAGGAGGGACTATCGACGTGATGGAGATAGTGGGAGGGAGTGAGTTGGATGAGATATGGGAGGGAGATGTGAGGAGAGGATGTGGGGGGAGGGAGAGAGGGAGAGGTGAGGGGAGAGAGGGAGAAGAGGAGTTGGACGAGAAGGGGAGTGGGATAGGGAGACGGATTTGAGGGAGGATGAGGATTGCGTGGATGAGACGTTAGAGGAGACCGAAGAAGCTGATGGAGAGGGGATGAGAGAGAAGAGAGTTCATGAGGGGGTGAGGAGAGGATGAGTGAGGAGCAGTGGGCGAGAAGAGTTGGAGGGTTGGAGTTGTCGATGAGTGGGGGACGGAATGAGAGGTGTGAGAATGAGGGGAGAGAGTGAACTTAGAGGTACTGAGGTTTGGATGTAGAGGAGGACGAGGGAGGGGAGCGGAGATAGAGGCGGAGAGGGAGACGTGACGGAGTCGGTGAACGTGTGTCACGAGAGAGGAGAGGGGGGCGGAGAGGACGGGGTGAGCAGGCAGATTTGGAGGCGAGGTTGCGAGTGGATGAGAGAAGAGGAGAGGAAGGAGGGCGGAAGTGTGAGAGTGAGATGGAGAGATTGGGGAGTGGTTGAGCGGGGAGAGGGCGTGCCAAGCGAGGAGAGGGGTTGCGTTCGGCGGAGGTAGATGGAGATGAGGAGGGTGACTGATGGAGGATGACGGGAGACTGACTTAGGGGGGAGGGAGGCGGAAGTGGGAGAGGAGGAGGGGAGATGTTGGGGAGAAGAGGTGGTGCGTGAGAGGAGGGAGAGGGAGCGAGGGGAACGAGGCGCAGACCGAAGAGGGGTGGACGGCTGATGGGAGAGTTGGAGGAGGGAGAGTATGAGTAGAGAGTTGGCGGACCGGAGAGAGAGTGATTGTGAGAGGAGAGTAGGGTGAGAGGTGTTGAGAGGGAGGAGGGGTCACGTGGGAGAGGGTGGAGCGGAGGGGAGACAGGAGAGGAGATGGAGAGGAGTGTGATGCTGTGGCTGAGGAAGAGCTAGGGTGGTGTGGGAGATGACGATGATGAGGAGAGATCGAGAGTCAGAGATGAGAGGAGAGATGTGATGGACTGGGGGTCGATTCCGGTGAGGATAGGGTGGGAGAGTCGGAGGAGAGATTGGGCGAGGGAAGATGATGTAGGTAGGAGTGAGCTAGAGGGAGAGGCGAGCGAGGGAGAGGAGGAGGAGGGAGGAGTTGGAGAGGTAGCGAGGTGTGAGAGGGAGGAGAGATTGGAGAGGAGTGCGAGTTGGTGAATGAGCGTGATGTCTTGAGAGTGAGATGGTTGCTATACTGAAGAGCGGAAGAGGTTTTGGTTTGAGGGGGGGGTGGAGGAGACGAGAGTTGGTGTGAGGAGAGATTGAAGTGGTGGACGGTGCGCGATAGAAGCGGGAGCGTTGGGAGGGGGGGACGAGAGAGGAGGAAAGAGGAGATAGGGAGGGGTGGGAGTTGGGGGGAGGATTACCTGTCGATAGAGAGAGTGGAGGATGAGTGATTTTGTGGAGTGGGTGTCGTGGGGAGACAGTCGGAGAGGGGGGAGGGACTGAAGAGGATCGGAGGGGATGACTGGAGTGGAGATGTTCGACGAGTGTGAGTGAACGTTGTTGAGGGGGAAGGGTGTGTTGGGATGATCTATGGAGTGCGATGAGAAGCGAGAGGGAGAGTGGAGAGGATTCGGTGAGGAGAGTGTTGGAGTGGTGTGGCGAATCTTTGGAGTGGTGGAGAGGGAGTGGGGAGAGCGGTGAGAGGAAGAGAGAGAGAAGGTGAGGGAGAGGGGGACGACTTAAGAAGTGTGAGATTCCGAGTGAGAGAGGTGGACGCGAGGGACCCGATTGGGGAGATGGAAGAGAGGGGGACGGTACGAGAGATTCGGAGCGGGAGGATGTGGTGGGGACCTGTATTGAGTGAGAGAGATAGAGGGAGGGGGATCGGGAAGGAGGAAGGAGGGAAGAGGGGTGGGGAAGAGAGACGGAAGAGGAATTGGAGAAGGAGATTATTGCCTTGAAGAGAGAGAGCGTGAGCAGATGGGGAGGAGGTGCTTGACTGAGGAGGGAGGGCGAGAGAGGAGGAAGGAGGGGATGGCGGAAGAGAGAGATGAGACTGAGAATTAAGTTTATTAAAGCTAAATAAGAGGGAGCGAGCGCAAAGAGCGCAGAGCGCAGAGCGAGAGAGCGAGAGAGCGAGCGAGAGAGAGAGAGAGAGAGCAAAAAAACGAGCGCCAGAGCAGAGAGAACCAGAGAGTGAGAGAGGGAGCGAGAGCAAAGCGCGCAAGAGCGAGAGCAGAGAGAGAGAGAGAGAGAGAGAGAGAGAGAGAGAGAGAGAGAGAGAGAGCGCAGAAAACGAGCGCCAGAGCAGAGAGAACCAGAGAGTGAAAGAGGGAGCAAGAGCAAAGCGCGCAAGAGCGAGAGCAGAGAGAGAGAGACTGATAGAGAGATATACACCTAGGCTATGAACTGTAGAACCATACATACCAAGATCTTGCCGTTTTAGAGTGTAGCGTGAAGGTGCCCGTTAACCCAGGCGGGGCGCACACCACTGAATGAAAGCCCATATTAATATATGTATAAATATATATCTAAATAAATAAACACAAATCGTATACACATACATAATATATATATATATATATACACATATATAATATATATATATACATATATATAATACATATGTCAGATCAACTGATACGAATGATGAAATGGCTTACCAAGATGGAAATATTCACATTCCCCGTATTTGTACACACTGCAGGGAATTAATGCAGCCCACAAGCCTGCACCGCTGCCTAAAAACGAAGCCGAGTTAGGCCTTCTGAAGGAACAATTTATGAATGGGAGTGTCCCAGTACTCACCGAGGAGGCGCTCTAAATCCGACAACAGGTCTGAGCAAGCGCAAAAACCCGCAAGTGCAATGTACTCAATGCCAAACAAATAAGGATGGCCCGCACGCCAGCACACGAAGCCAAGTAGATCGCCACGCAGCATGCAGACGCCAGAGGTGAGGAGAGAGACGCGACAGGTGAAACTAGTTCCCGTAATCAAGGCCCTGCCGCAGCGTGATTGGCCACCAGTGGGTATGCGCGTACCACTACATCTAATTGGATTCATTATTGCATTGGGCTGTCGTTATTGAAAGCAGTGTGTGTTACCTTCGAGCCGGCTGCTGCTTGGATGCCCCTTTTGTGCACAGATGCTCACGTTGCATTGTGACACAGTCGCTCGGTATTCTGGGTCAGTCCTCCGAAGCCTCAGTGAAAGGCCATGTACAGGGAGGGGGCAAAAATAGCAGTTGCAGCCACAGGAGCAGGAGCCTTGACAATGAATCGGACACGTGCATTCCGGAGCTGCATAACCTCGACCCAGCAGACCCCAGAGAGAATATACTAAGGATGTCACTCAGGGCGTGTTCGCTCTTTTTACGCATCACCGTTGCATATCCCTGGCTTATATCCGTGGGGAAAACAGCTGCCGGGCGTAGAATGAGTGTTTGGTGTAAAATGAATGCTTTAAAATGTATGCGCCTATCTCTATACACTCAGATTACGTTACACACTTATCAGATGTACATTTGGGGTCACCTTTCTCATCCTGGACATGAACCAAGGCAACGTTCCAAGAGATCCTTTGTTCCTTCGGCTGTCAGACTGCACAACAACAAAAAAGAGTCTTATGCTGCTAGACACCTGCATTTCTCCTACGGGGATCAATAAAGTATCTATCTATGTATCTATCTAACCATGAGCTTTTAAAAACTTTTTCATCCACATGCAATTAAACATACTTGCGTCTTTGCATGTATGTTTGTGGGTTTTTTGGGGGGTCCCTGTCTGAAAAGTTTGGGATCTCTAAAGAGAACATGTCATTGTTGTGTACCTGATGAAACATATGTGTATTTTCTTTTCAAGTGGATCATGGTTTGGTGCGTTCACACAAACAGTGTTCAGCAGAAAGTGTGTGAGAAGGTCATTCATTGTTCTAAGATAGCAATATTATAGTGTGTATTGATATGATCTCATTTGACCATTTTATTGAACTTGAAATTGATAGTAAAACTGTGCTCAGACATTTAAAGGTTAATGCAAGCACATTTTAACCTTTGCTGCTGGACAAGAGAATCGCTCAGCGCTGATAGTAATTATGCAAAATAAATGTTTGACCTAAGTGATTCTGGACTCATTTTTACTAAGACGCAGCTGTAAGTTGACTGCAGACCACCATCAGCAGTGTGTCATTTACAGTCACTGGTTCAGAGGACAACATTCATTTATTTCAATACACGCCAGAGTTAAGATTGTGCCTAATGTCCCGAAACAACCGCTAATGTGCCTTGGCCTCCTCGCATTCACAAAATACATGGGCGCCTTGCTGATGCCTTTCCAAACATCTTTTCTGCAACACTTGTCCAATTACTCGCACGTGAACGCTCATTGTCCAGCCTTTTGATTCCTAGTAAACAGAATTACTAAAATGAGATGAGTCAAACCCACATCTGCAGTCCGACACTTTTCTTGGGATTTGGAGAGACTTTAAAAGAACAACGGAGCCCTCTGAGCTGCCATGCACTGTGCACGTCAGGTGAGCTGCACACACAGTAATTACTGTGTAAAAGTCATTTGCATTCAGCAAAAAGAACTTTGTTATCGGCTGCAGAGGATAAAACGGTTTTGAGACATGCCATAGCAAAAAGCAATGTCAAGTCAATTAAGAGGTAAAATCTTTCATTGAACATTTGAGAAGTGCAGTAAAGAACACAACATTTAATTGTACTGACTGAGCTCTGAATTACTGGTGGTGGGTTTTTTTCATTGTGAACATGGAGATAGTCATCAGATGGAACTCTCAGAGTGACTCTCTCTGAGCAAGTCTCAAAACATGAAAAAATGAGCTCGTATAAGACAGAATTCATCTTTTCACAGGGAGAGTTCATAATCATACATTGCAGAGTGAAATTTGAAGTTGAAAGTAAATTATTCCAATATTATTCTTCCCTCTGGATGCTCCGGTTTACCCTACCATTAAAAACATGCACAATAGGTCTGAATGTAATGTGTGAGTGAATGGATGGAGTTGGTTGGAGACTTTGATGCACCAGTGTGTTCGGCGTCTCGCTTCCGTCATCACAGTGAGAGAGAATGGAACAATGTCTGATCTCTGAACATTGTGAAGCACTTTGGGTGACCTTGGTCTGTACAATGCACTATATAAACATTACTTACTTAATTCTATTTATTTTGGAGGGCAGGTCCCAAAACAACTCTATAGGGAAGAAGGAGGAATATTTCAAAGAAATATCAAAATGTCCAAAATGATATCCCAGATCCTGTGAGTAGATAGCTCCAGCCACTCCGGAGCTTGCCACGCTCATTAAACGCAAATGCCAATCAATCAACGCCATTAAATTTTAATCGGAGAGTACATTATACATATACATTCTTAATACAAGTGCACGGAAGCTTTCAGAATTTTCCGTTTACGTTTTCATGACAAAAACACTGATGTAATGCGAGAAAAACCCGGAAGTAGATACCGGGACATTTTAGGACACATTTGCAGAAGATCGAATTATGGATTTAGGTTTAGTTTATGTTTTGGTCACTCGCCGCTGATGTTCACAATTCTTTGTTCATTTTTCATGCAGTTCCAGGGAGTTCTAGTTTGGAAGTTGATAGCCTAACTGTTGCTAGCATAGCCACGGGAAAGCTATTGGGAACTATTTTATTTTCTTTCTTATTTTAAATAAACCGTGTCGGGGTCCGCTTCGCCCTGTCGGTACTTATTTTCTGATAATGACCTGCGTACTATACGTTATCCCTTACATATTCAATCCACAATTGTAGTGTACTGACAAAGAAGAAGTGGAAGTTCTGTGGACTGGCCCAGGATTTATATATTACTTCCGACAGTTATTATAGATAGCAGGAAATATTATCCATCTGCCCTCCACCACTCGGTTCTTTGAATGTATTACTTTAAAAAGTTTAGTTAGACACTCCAGTTCTAATAACAACATGCTTTCCTCACCTCCCAACCTCCTATCTGACATGAGCAGCAGTCTTTCCATCATTCCACCTGGTTATTACATTTTCATGTTGCATGTGACAGGCCCAAAGGTATTCGCATAATTTGGGAGATCAGACCTCTTTGGCATCCTTTCTCCGGACATCTCTGAGCTTCTCCACCGTCTGCCTCTCTCATCTGCAGCTTGCAAAGGCGCTCATTCAGCCCCTGCACAGGCACAAATGATCAAAAATTGCCTACATTCCTCCTAAAGCACAGCGGGTGACCACAGGCAGAGAAAACAGGAAGAAGGAAGGAAAGAATCAGTCAAATGAGAGATGACAGAGAATACAAATAGAGACGAAGAGGCTGAATAGAGCGCAAAAGAACGGAACGCTATTGGTCGGGAAAGGGAAGTTGAGGATGTCAGATGAGGAAACTAGGATACAGCAGAGGAGGAGAGTAGAGGGCTAGAACTTTTCAATTACCGCTGCACATACGGACAACAAAGAACCAGATTTCAGGAGATTATAACAGTCTGTAGCCCACAGGGAAAAGCTCATTCATTTCTCCTCTCTGCACATCAAGCAGGAATATTTAATACCTTCTTTATGTTGCACAAGTAAAAGTCTGTTATGAAAACTCTTCCATGCAACACAGTTTGTGGTTTAGTAGAAAATATTGTGCTAACGTAAACGTACATTTCAAACCATATTTTTCAAAATTTATGATTTAGTCAAACATCAAATGACATTGATGTTATGTTTTGTCTATTATTGTCAAAATTAAACGAATAATCCTGGGGTATTTAAAAAAAAAGAAACAGAAAGAATCTTGTAAGAAAACACAGAGCCCCAACTGGGAGACACTCTGGGCTGAAAGCTGAGTGAGGGTGGTCCTCTCGTTTTCACTTTTCTGTCTGAATGAAAATTAAATGAAGGCAGGACTGCAAAAATAAGCATTTATCAAAGCAGACACAAAATAAAAATCCAGCGCAAAAATACAAAACGTTACCAAACTGGGGACAGAGCCCAGAATTAGGAGACGTGAGATTGTCAATGACAGGAACAGGGAGTGGAGGAATACACAACGTTTGAACACACAAGAGAACACACAAGAGAACACACAAGAGAACACACAAGAGAACACACAGGTGATACACACGAGTGCAGCTCATCAGGCAACAGGAAGTAGAACAAAGGAAACTAAAGGGGTTGAAAAAATACAAAACTAAACACAAAATAAATCTATACCATGACATGAAATGAGGAAATTAATTTAGAACAAAGGTATTATTGAGAGAGATTTGAAAGTTACACCTCAGCTTTGATTCAATTCATTTCAATGCCGGCGTCAATTTCCAACAAAGACAACACAGGAAATGCCACACAAAGGAATTACAAAAAAAAAGCGCTATATAAAACCATTTTTTTTTACTAGTCCATATAACTTAAAGATGGACTAGTAAAGCTCGAAGGGAAGTTTGTGGGAACGCTGCAGGACGATTTTGTTCCTAATGTTCTTAATCGGAACTAATGTGTCTGTGTGAGTGTGATTATATTCGATCAAGCGCACACCTGAGTGACAACAAAAACAATTGTCACTCAGGTGTGAAAAACACAAAATATTCCTATCCAGGTTAAAACCTGTATTAAAGAGATTCATCCACTTCTCTATAGACAGTTTGTCTGCCTGTTTACAGCACTCTAGAAAGTAGCCTACTCAGATGGATTCTTTAACACGCTTATGAAGAGAAGGATTGAGGCTACTGTGGAAAGGCGATTCAGTCAGAAGACAAAAGGATAGACTTAGGAGAAAGTGAGAAAAGCTGAAGACCTCTGGGCTGTAGGAGGTGCGAGGCGGCAGCAGGAGCTTCAGTTAAGAGGAGTCCACCGTTCACACCGTCTCTCTCCCATCATGCTGTCATTACAGCTCTAGTGCATAGGACAACTTCACCTCTGTTGCTCCATAATTCATTTCTGGTTTATTTTTACAGTTCGGGGCAGTTTTATGAAGTGATGTGTTGATGCGTAAAGGTGCACAGTGTGCCAAATGCAGGGTTTCATGAGCACAGCGACACACAGGGAGGTCAGAGCTGCTTTTATAAGTCTGCTTTCGATGGATGATGCACCTTGTCATCATCTGGGTTACTTATTTCTTAATAATTACGTTATACTACATCCTGATGTTATGAACTACAAATGTCATGTGCTCCCCTCACACTACAGCTGCTCCTCATGACAGAGAACCTAATGGTATTGAAGGATTGGTAAAATGTAAAGGACACATTTCTCTTCAGGGACAATAAAGTACACTTTATCTTAGCATAAAGGACACACACATGCATTGGGTAACAAGAACCAAATGGCAAAGTACAAAGGATTTACAACACAAACATATTCTAAGCCTTACTGACATATGTCTCTGAGCATGAGATGATAACTTAAATTAGTGTCTTTGCTTTAACCTGGCATCATAATATTTCCTGTAACTTTTTGTTTTGTTAATGTATCATTGTAGTCTATGTACAAATAAACAAATACTAACCACACCTAACATTGTATAGTTTGAAATGATTATCTTTCAATGCTACCACTTCTTCAAACCAAAGGTTTCCACAGAGAGAATCATATGAATGGAAATGAGTGAATAGCCTCAGAATGCAGATTTTCAGGACAAGATGCATTGTGATATTACATTGACTCTTTATTTGAGTCCAAGGAGAAAAACAAAGCAGACTCCTGAGGTGTCCGTGTACTGAGAGCTACTAAGAAAAAGTAATCAATGAATCGATCCTGTAGCATCAGGAATACAGACAGTGCAGTCTATTCACCTGTGGAAACACATGACGGGGTTTAACTATGCAGACGAGTCTCTTCACATTATACATATAACGAAAACAAATTGAACAGGTTAATGACGACAAATTAGAGACATTTATCTACTGCATTTGACCCATCCTTCAAATGCCAACAACCTGTCAAGAGCAGTGGGCGCCACAGAGGCCGAAAATCCATCTCCAGATGTTTGGCTCTGTCAGGACTGGAGCTGTAGGGACCTAGAGCACCCGAAGAAAACCTTCAAGGTTTGAGACGTGAGCGCTACCCTCAGCCATCATGCCGCCATCTTACTACACAGGAAGGGAAGGCCTAACGTCTCCGAAACTCTCCTGTGCCCCACCTGCTGCGCCGTCCAGGGGACAGACCAAGACTCTCACTGTGGTAACTATTGTTTGTGTTTGTCAGGTTTTAGTAATCAGTATGATGTAATGATGAGGATAGGGAAAGGAATCATTGAAAAAAGAAAATGTTCAGTTTCCACTGCCGACAAATAGCAAAGGCAATAAAAACTGTAAACTGTATTATATTGTTTCGAACAAACATATATTTATAAGAATAAGGATAAAACTATGGACTCCTTTACATGAATACAAGACCACTATGTGTCACAATGATAATAAGAATAAGGACATGTACAAACATGAAACTGCAACACCTTGGGGAGGCTTTTCGAAGTCGGACCCTCTGGAGACTGCTCAGCTTTAGTCTAATTAGAGATGTACTTGTGCACACGTGAATGAACACAACTCCACAGTTTGGTTTCACTTTTCCTTTTGTCTGTCTGTCCTCTCGCCCTTTCTGTAAGTGTCCGCTCTGGTTTTCAACATGTTGTCAAACGCATGTCAAGGAAAGTGCTGCAAAAAAGGGTCAGTAGAAGAAGTTACTAAAACCTACCACTCAAAACATGTTGCCCACTGTGGGACTAATAAAGGCATTCATTCAACATGCATTCATCACATCTCAACTTCTGTGTTTTCAATGACAACCCGCACGACAAGCCCTTCACATCTCTGATCTGTAATTGATCTCACTCGGGACCCAACGGACACATATTTTTGGGGAGGGAGATAGTTTGTATGTGTAAACTGATGCAAGTGAGGGAAAAGGGGGTTGCAATAATGATCTGTAATTATGTTCCCTTCTAATTCAAAGCAATGTGCATGTCACTGCAGAAGAGGCAGAAACTGTGCTCGATTAGCCTATTATCAGGAACATTTGAACGGGTTTAATGTGCAACAATCACGCTGAGAGAGGACAGGCTGTAATGGCGAGTAATGGGTATAAATGTGGAGATACAGAGGATGACAGAGATGGCCATTATAGTGCCCATCACCTTAATCACTATAAGAAATAAGTGTAGGACCAACCTTCTGTCCTACATACAATGTCTTTGTAGCAGCTGCTCACTTCTCCACCCTCAGGCACGACACGTACCGATAATGATTACATTGTGAGGCTGCATTGCTAAAAAATGCTTACAAACCAGGGGAGATGGTCAAGTTTAAATCCGGCCAGCTTTCAATTATTTCCATTCAATACAAATCAATTCATTCTTGTATGCCCTAAGTCACAACAGTAGTAATTTCAGACGACTTAACATAACCTTTGAATTCGCCAACACAGATCAGAGAATCAAACAAGAAATGCAACAATAAAAACACATAGAGCCAGTGGTCCATAAGGGGCAGATGACCAATGTCCATAAATGTTGATAAATGTCCATACATGTTGTTGAAGGTTGAGTGTCCTGGATCATCACCACTGTCCTTTTAGTTAGACGCTCTAACAATATCAAATATAGTTGCTTATAAATTTCACAAAACAACAGTATTGTCTGAGGAATGCACACACACACAAATACACGGTATTTGTAAACTTGGTACAGAGAGAATACAGTGTCCTTTTTTTTTGGGGACAGTGTTAAATGCTTGTTCCCATCGTGCTTGATCGGATGCTTTTGCATGGTTTTCATCCAGTGATTTCTGGCTCTGAGAAACTCATTTGGCTCTGTGGTTCTGCGCGGCATTCCGGAGCAGAACGAGAGGCGAGCAGATAGAGTCGGGAGGGAGGATGTGAAAAGCAGCGGAGTCAGAGCGCGACTTCATTCACCCAGCCACGCTCACAGTGCGTACTTCAGCCGGAGCCCAGGGAGAGAGAGGCTGCCTCACAAAGGATTCTTACAGAGCATTCATCTCTTTCCTTTTCAGCCTCCCGGGACGTGTGTTTGTCTTCTAAATGAACTCTGCTTTCCGCCTGTAGTAGATGGAAACGTGTAATCGTACGATGGATAGAAGAATGCATTGTTGTTTTTTTTAGGTAACAAGTTTTGAAAGTGTTATACAGCCTGCGTGTTGTAGTTATTTTTGATTCAGATTGCAATATGCAAGATGAAGTGGTCAACATCTTTTTGCTGTGGAGGTCAAGTTTGCCTGTGAAAGTGGTTTTTAGTGCTGTGTCATCCTCAGTCCGGGGAGAATGAAGTGTTGCTGGGTGAAGCATGAGCTGTCAGAGGATCAGTCATACCCGGCTGTCTCTGATATGGACGGCTCTTTGGCTCTTCTTCTGCTGCTGGATATCCAGAGCCTCAGCCTCTGCCCCTGGACAAGGCGACTACCTGGACTCCCCAGGGTCCCTCAGCTGGCTGCTGTCCGATAAAGGACCTTTCCACCAGTCCTGGGAGTTTAGTGAAGCTGCAGAGAGGTACCACAAAGGTTTCACTACCAGATACAAAATCTACAGGTGAGTGCACACAGTGTTGCACATGCAACGTCAAATTATAATCAATCATATGTATATTGGCTGATTATTTTACAATGACTTTGGTCAGGGCAGGTTGAGTCACAGGCAAATGTACAGTACCCCTGACACTAATGAGTCTCCCGTACCAAAAGAACTCCTGCCAATGGTTTGAGCGTTCCTGTGTGCTCAAGAATAAGGAATATGGAACATTATTGTATTAATGATATTATTATTGTGGGGGTTTGTTACTAAATAAATGTATAATAACATGATTTATACAGTGTTGTTTTAATATTATTATTTGGTTTATTAGGCGGGTGGCTATTTAAGGCTCCATTTCCTTTGTTATCATAAATTATCATTCTAAACTTAATAATTTACATAAGAATTTCATTATTTGACCTAGTAAGACAGTAAAATATAGAAAGATTGTATCAAATGAATGCACACTTAGACAGAGGCCAAGGGTTTCAGGACCTGATCAGACTCATGATCTCTTCAGAAGCTGGTGACGTTTGATTTTTCGGTCCACTCCACATGTTCCAACTGTGATTACTCTGATGAGCTCTTTGAATTGAAGAGGTTCCAATCAGTTTCAGCAAACGGTAGAGTCTGAAATACAACTTGTCCAGAGTTAGATTAATCTATATGCAGTCACAGCAGATGCGACAAATTAAGTTGCGAGCTGATGAGCCACTCTCAAGATGTAATACTTAAGCATGCAAAACAGGCTTGTTCATCTCTCTGAATCATGTGGACCCAGATTAATCACTGATCAAAGTCGTTTGGTTTTGGATAATTATAATTTTGCAATTGTACCAAATGACCTCTGTACGACTCTTTTGATTGGGCATATCTGTCACATCTTATAGCAGGCTTAAGCAGAGGACCATTTCAGTCTATAAATCTGTGCGAAAAGTCCTCATTTACATTTTCATCTCAGGAGCTGCAGAGGTTTTTGATGAATTTCCGTTTCTTTTATCGGCTTTGTGACTCTATCTGGGCTGGGCCTGTTTAATGCATCATACCTGGACAGTGTCCGCTTTGCTGGTGGACACTGCCAAGGGCAAAGAAGAGAGAGCATGCTTTATTGAGGAGATTTGTGGCTTTATGAATCATCTTGTCCATTATCTCCCCTCAGGAATCTCTTACTCTGTGGTGTTTATCTCATGGTGACAGCCGCATTTTGTCAATACTAAAACCTCCTTCATAAATGGATTCCAACCTGAAAAGAAGTCAGCCTTAGCCAATGTATTCAGTGTAATTAAAAAGTCAAATGCATTGTGCCGGCAAATGAACTTTAGAAATAAACAGTCCTTTATCTACGATTGAATTCAACTTCCCGGGTGTATATTTTATTACCCGTTAAATAGTAAGAGCAGATTTGCTCCTTCAACATGTGGTCAATAGTTTGCAGTAGTGATGGCAATATGAAGCCCCATGAAGCCTTGAGGGATCGCAGCCTATTACTCGGCCCATGAGTCGAAGGCTCGAGGTGAATCATGCTCCACTACGCCATCATGTGGACAAAGAAATACATAACACTCTTAAGTGCTTACAATGAATGGTGAGATCTAATGTTAAAATGTATATTTACAATCTATGGTCTAACGTGTTGTGTTTGAAATGATGCTTCATGAACTATGAACTATTTGAGTCTTTCAGTCAATTGTGTTGATACAACAAACACATCCCAAAGTAATACAGTTCTACAGAAAGTGATTAATGGAGGAAAAACTACCAAGAGGTGGATTAATTAAACACAACAAACCATTTATTCCCAATAAATAAATACATTTACTTTGCAACACAAAATTTATTATGGGTAGACCAGGATTCGAACGCTATATCTTCTGCTTCGGAGTCCGTCATATACCGACTGCGCCACACAGCTGTTATGAAATGTATTATCCAGCGTATTATTACTAATAACTTGAAGCCTTGATATATGAGGTTTTACAAAAGTGAAAAGTTTTTAATTGTATTTCATATGAAGTAGTTTCTCTATACTTAGTACAGGACTGCTCCACATCACGCACACACACGTACGCACACAGAGGCAGACGGGGACAGCCAATACAGTCTATGGTACAGCCGCGGATCACAAAGCACCTGTCAAAGCAATGCACTCTCCGAACTATATGAAGCACTATATGAACCGTCACGTGGTGCGGCCGCTACGCGAGGCTTCGAACGTCACCACACACGTGACCAATACACGCCTCGACCCACACTTCACAAGAAACGCCCCCAGATTACTCGGTCCACGCTTCGAAGACTCGGTCCGCTCAGCACATCACTAGTTTGCAGACGTTATGAGCAATATTCACAGTGAAAAGATTCAGTGCACTTAAAGGTTCAACTGAAAAATACTACGGTATGAGGTGATAATTTATATCCTATTTTGAGAATATGGAAGTTAAGTAGTCGCTGAATGTTGTTGATCCGTAAATAAATCCATATTTGTCATTATGCATATGTGATATTCATTGTATGTTATTAGGTATAGGAAGGTTGATTCGTTTTTTAAATTGTAAGAACAAAACTAGAGTGATGAATAAAAAGTGACCTTACTGCTCACTTTGAAATCATGAAATTTGGATAAAATAGTCAAAACAGGCTCTGAATTGCAGCAGAGGTTAAGATTTCCATTTAAAAAACAGTAATTACAAAAACTTGAGTTTTTTCTTACTTTTTTGACGTGAGCAGCACTGTAGAACAAGAATGCACTGGCCCAGTCCCATCTCAGGAGTTTAGAACGAGGGCCCACAATGAGTGAAAAATAATGTAGTTTTTTTAAAAACTAACAGAAATATCAGAATAATTTGGCCGCTTGTGTTACGCCAAAACCACTGCTGGGAGTAGTGAGGAGAGAAAATGTGAATGGAGAATGGATTCAAAAGTGAACACTGGTACAGACTCAGACTGTCAGGACTGGATTATCCCCAATTATCCCTTAGACAGTTCAACATGTTATGATTTGGCCTTTGCCCCAGTTGTAGCAGTGTAGCCTTCGTTCCACATTTCTTATTGTTAACCTGTTACAGTAAGTGTGTGTCTGCATACTGATGCAGGGGGCTGTGGGCAACACCCGCGGCGGCATGTGTCACCAGGGATGGTCACTCTCCCGTGATGGGATGATGGAATATAACGATGACACACACACAGAGCACAGTTCCCCTTTCCCCAATTACTGCTCTGTCTATCTCTTGTCTTGGGCAGGGATTTGATTGGCTCCCTGGAGGCGGCTTGGAACAGCACAGTCACAGAGGTGTATCAGGAGCTGCTGGTGCACGCTGCTCTGGAGCTGTGGGAGTCTCCCTGCTCCTCCCTGCTCTTGAATATCAACATTTCAGATGTTTGAAGTGTGCCAATGATGCACTAAATGGGAACAGCTGACAGTTTGAGGAGATTTTAAGGAGCGCAGGTTCTAAATACACAAAGAGAGATAGTGATGCAACACATCAAGGTGGGGCAAACAATCAAAAGGACGGACATGAAGTAAAACTAAAACAAGAAAACAAATATGTATCCTAATAAAACCAGGTTAATCAAACCATCCAAAAGTCCACACCATGACAGCTTGTGTCCAGCTTCTAATGAGGTCTTCTCTATCAAGACTCCGTCAGGGGGAGAGGTTACGTAATGAAGCCAGATTGATTGTTTGTCTGTTAGTTTTGGCTATAAGTTAAACGTTTTGGGAGGATTTTGACAAAATATCCATACGTGCACAATGAATATTTGATTTTAAAAAAAGGTGATCAGAAAAGAAACTGTGCCTTTTGGTGGAGGTCACACTCCCATTTAAACTCTAAATTGTACTATCAGCCCATAACATGTAGTATGTTTTTCTGAATACCTCCAAAATACAAGACTGTTGGCATAATACATATTTTGGGTACATGTATTCAATACATAGGTATTGATGCATGGAATATAGACATAAAGTAAAACAATTTTTGCCTCATAAGACCTGCATGTGAGCGGAACTATGTGGAGGTCAGATTCAGATTCATTTATTTGCCATTTGCAGTAAAACCACATTGGAAAAACTGTGCAAGACTACCCCAGTGTGCACCAGACAGAGAAGACTACACACACCAGAGCTCTTGCCACGGCGCCATCTTTACGGCGCCATGGGACAAACAGTAGAATAAACAGCAGAGAGCAGTAACATACATACTGTATCACAAGACAGTTTGGATAAGACACAATATGTTTTGGATAAAACACGGACGTTATCCGTCCGTGTTTTAACAGGTCTTTACTGTTATGAATAGCTCATGCTTAGAGCTGTGTTACAGGCTTTTCAGATTCAATAGTAGTAGGACAATACGTGTATTATCTATAAGTACATTGCACAGTATTCTGTTTGTCTTCTCTCATATATCTATAAAACACTGGCCCATGTCCATGGCCAAACCTGATTATTACAAATACAATTATTGTGTCTTTTGGAAATCCTCCAAGCCTCCAGGGTCAGTGCACAATATCGTATAAATGACACGTGTGGGTGTTTGAGGCAGAGGTGAGCGCTTAAAGCTGCAGAAGGAGGAAAGTTCAACACAAATTGCAAAAGTGTTGTCAAATTAACAACCCGACTAATGTGTAAGTGTGTAATTTGACAGTGACAACGCAGTCATAAAGAGTTACAGCGAAAGATACAACTGATTCTCAATCAATCAAATTTTATTTATAAAGCGCTTTTCATACAAAAGATGCAACACAAAGTGCTTTACAATTTGGTTAAAAACCATCCCCCCAACCACCCGACAGACCCACCACAAACCACAGACAAACACACACAGATGAACTCATGCCTTCTCACACACACACGCTCTCATGAACACTCACACACACACACGCTCACACACACACACACACACACACACACGCACACACACGCACACGCACACACACACACGCACACACACACACACGCACCAGTAAAACAGTCTCACCTCCTGCCCAGGTTCAGCTTTTCCCTACATACAATACATGCTAATTATATCAAATCCTTTCCACTTCCCGATAAGAGAGGATGAACTGCAATCCAATAGGGACTTGACTCTGAGCTTGCAACATTGATCCTGTCCATAGCCAGAACATTGCAGGCTGAAGATCACTGTTTGTTGTTGTCTTGTCTCACAGGGAGTTTGGTCGATGGAAGGTCAACAATTTGGCCTTGGAGAAGCGGGACAGTTCATCGGGCAGCGGGGGTTTGTCTCCGCCTCTCGACCCCGAGTTTATGCACATGGTCAGGCAGCTGGGACGCCGGCCGAGTCTGCAGACCATCACAGAGAGCCTCATTAAGAAGTATGGCACTCACGTCCTCATCTCTGCCACACTGGGAGGTACGCTACACTGAACACTCACTCTGCCTCCAACCCGAGGAGCAGCTTGTGCGATTAACCATCTGAAACCTATGCTGTTGCAAAGTACCAGTCACCCAATATGATGTCCAGAGTTAAAACTTTGTAAACTAAACTAAACTAAACCTAAAGGTGGGGTACCCAACTTTCAAACTGCAGAAAACAAGTAACATAAAATAAAATCTGTTTCACTAGCACCTAGCTCCAGGTTGATACTATCACTAATCACTCAGACTATTGTAGTAGTATTTATTTGAGCAGTTTTACAATGTATTTTATATATTTTTTTACATGCACATTTAATTCAAGAAAGTAAGAAAGCTCAAAAGGAGAAGGCAAGTATTTGTGCATACAGTATAAATTAAAAACACATTTTTAAATCAGCCATTTAAAGCTTGACAAATATATTGCTGAGACAATCAGACGTCAAAAGCGCTGAATAGGGACTCATGGTGTTCTTTCTTACAAGTATGCAAAAGATAATAAAATAGAGTAAATCTGTAAAGAAAGCATTAATCTTGTCACCCTGATTGGTGCAAGAGCATGTGATCATAATCTGTAATTATATGTAATTGTGTGTAACTTTTGTTGTTTCTTATCGAGGAGTCCCTTGAAAAAGAGATTCTTAATCTCATCGGCACTTTCCTGGTTAAATAATAAAAACATATTGTTACCATCCATATTCTACAGTTACAAAAGTTACGATTCTAAAAGTTACAAAAATATAAATGAGGTACAACAGCAGCAGCCGCAGCAGTAGAGGTGGTGACGCCGCTACTGATGAGCTGCTGCCTGTCCTCTGATGTCTGCAGAGTCTGCTTGATTCGGACCATTTTCTCTGCTCTGGTTCAGAGTGAAATTCTGAATGCTTTATTAGCATTTTTCAAAAGAAATTAGCGTTCCACCAGTGGATTAACACTTGATCTGCTTGGTTCGGTACGTGCATCTTCTCTGCATCAGTGTAAAAATGCACACTGTACTGCAGTAACAAAGACAGAAAAACAATTGTAAAGTACAAAACAAATGTTTCAGAGATACTAAACTTACTGCTGTTTCCTGCACATTCTTAGACATGCTTATAGGTCCGCTCATTCATTATAATGGAAGATTAACTTCACAAAGACAAGTGACCAACATTTGAAACACATTAGCTACAAAGCAAACAGGAAACAGAAGGGGGTGCCAAAAGAACCACTACATCTGATATACTGCATACTAAATGAGGAAACCAAGGAAATACTTTTGTTTTTATCCATTGATAAAACCACAATTTGAGTCGAGAAGCCAAATTGTGTCAGTTATTAAATTGAGTAAAGTCAGTTATTTTTCCCAAAATAACGGCACTAAAAGTAGAGCTGACTTTTGGTTTTGTTGGATGTTTACATTTATACAGCGTCCTGTAAAGGATTTTACAGACAGCAAGTGATAATATACACAGGAGAGACAGAGACCTCCAATCAGCAGCTGCCACGGTGTGCATTGCTGAGAAAAGTATGTGATACTTCTCAGTTACACTACATTTATAAATTCTTATAATCTCTCAAATGTATTTAGTGCAATTCTGGTGTAACGGCTCCATGTATATAATAATAATGTGACTGGTGGTATCATATTGTTACTGGCAACATCATATTAATCTGACGGGTTCTTGAACGGTCTTGGAACAACAGCTCAAAAGATTGGAACATCAGTGTCACCATATGGCACCGCAGTCGGAACGTCTGTTGTTGTTGTTGTCTTATCCACAAAGCCCATAATGCATTTCTTGGATCAGTGGTTTGCATTACACCCAGCACCAAATCACTGTTAGAGGGGTAAATTGGAGAACAGTGAGAGAATTTTGTTTATACTAGCATCAGCTGCCAAAGGGAGGCTCTTGTTTGTTGTGCTGTTATTTATTTGCCACCGGCTGGTCTGCCATCTTTCTTATAATCATTATCAATAGGTCTTAACCCAGATGGAAAATGAAATTCAGCTGGAAATCCCTATTATTATCTGCTCTCAGTATCAGTCTGATGTTTGCCTAGGCTTTTATTTTATTCCCATGAATGCAGTAATTGGCCAAAACTCCCCAGTAAACATACGGTTTGGCTGTCGCGTTTCAGAAGTGGAGACAAAACTTTTTTTGTCCTAGACTCAATATTTTGTACCACTGTTGAAAAAGTCTCTCCAAGTAAAAATCCATCCAAATCTATGAAGACAAATGCTCCGACACAGAAGCACAAGTTCACAAAGCAATTTGGAAACGCTCTCTCCGCTCCTCATAAAGAGACTGCAGCGGTTGTGCCGACTCTGAAACAGTGCTACACAGTCTAGAGATGCTGCTGAGAACAAGTATTAATAACTACAAAGAGCTACTTCTGGGCGATAGTAGCTCAGTTGGTAGAGCATTGGCCTTCATGCCTGAGGTTCATGGGTTCAATTCCCACCTCTACACCTTCTCCACAACTCCCACTGATGACTGCTGTCGTTGTGTCCTTGGGCAAGACACTTAACCCCACTTTGCCCAAAGCCCCCACTGAAAGATCAAGGCTAAGCTCACACTCACCATCAATACATCACCGTATTACACCCTGCATCTTGTCTCAATTCAAAAGCAGTGCTTCTCAAATTGTGGGGCCTGCCCGGTGCGATGCCAAGGGGGGGGGGGGCGTGTGACCCTGGGCTACATGCTTTTTTTGCCCTTACTTGAATAATATGTAATTGCACATCCACTACAGCAGTTGACAGTGGCGCTCTCGTTGTCTGAGTTCCAGTCTGTGGGAGGTAGGAGCATGGATCTACGGGTAGGAGCAGTCTCTAATAGTTGGGTACGTCCTCGAACGGGATTCCACATGCTCCGGTGCCGTAGTGGTCTGATTTCCGGAGCGTGCTTGATAACAGCGGCGCGGCCAAAGCGACGCCATAATGTGACCAGCGCGGACAGGACAAGTGCGGATCTTTGCGCAACATGTGGACGCGAAAAATACACCGCTGCGAGAAATACTGCTGAACTATAAGAGACCCCCTGTCTCCTGTGTCTGTTCCTGTACAGGCTCACTAAATTAAAGCTGGGGTACCTAAATTTCCCTTGCATTTATTATGCATGTTGGTAGTGCCCAAACGTAAAATGAATAACTAATTCAAAACAAACCGCAACATAAGTTTTATTATTAATGTTGTATTTTGCATAACTAAGAAACGACCTTGTTTGTCAAAATTTGTAAGGAGAAGATATAAGGAGGGGGAGGGCACAAAATGTTTTCTTCTACCTAAGGAGGGCCAGGTAGAAAATAATTGAGACGCACTGGTATAAAGGCATGATGTACTGTCTAGAACGGCACAAGGCGCAAACATTTTTAAACATTTGGAATTCCCTGTTTTGGGGATCCCTTGTGTTGCTCCAGTGTCGTCTTTGAGCGTTTGTTTCCTCCAACCGCACGAGGTTTCTGTAGCAAGCCAGCTCCTTAGCAACAGTTGTCATGAGCGAAATGAAGCCCCACACAGAGGAGAAAAAGCTTATTTTTTCTTCATTCATCTGATAAATTTTACAAAAACAATATTGATTATGTTAAGCAGCTTGATTCAACATCTTGCTGTATAAGAGACCTTTAAAACTGACATTATTATGCAAACTGTAAGTCAACTGTGACTATATAATGTAACCGTTTGATTGTTTTAAAGTATATTCAAAGCATTTATGTTAAAAGTAGGTCACTAGAGGATATTCCATCTGCTTAAACCAGGTTCAGTTTTTCTCCACACTCTCAGCCCTTAATCACTGCTGTGATTCTACCGATTTATAAAGATGGTAATGAAAGATGATTAGCGCTGCTCAGTTAGAACTAATGAAGTCTGTGTATTCTCTTCTGCACCAGGAGAGGAGTCGCTCACCATATTTGTGGACAAGAGAAGACTGAATCAGGAGTCTCAATCTGCAGACAGTGAGGTCTCCAACAAGAACTCCAACTGGACCGGAGCAGTGACGCTGGAGACTCTTCACCACCTGGCTGCATCCTACTTCACTGACAGAGAAAGCACACTGAGGAAACTGCACCATCTTCAGATAGCGTCCAGTGCCATACGGGTAAGTTGGTACAGCAGTGATTCATAAAAAACAATGCGACAAACTAATATCTTATATACGTCTTGTTATAGGCCTTGTGTTTGGCAGATTCAAGATTGTGATTGCTATAGAATAACTTGCGCATATGAAGTGCAATAACAAGCCCAGATTGCAGGTCAGCAGCTTCCCAACAGAGACAATAAAGTAAAACGTCATTGTCCACTGTTCAGGCGCACAGCCCGAGGCGCCCAGATTAGCGCTGTCCAACGACGTGGATAATGCAGCAGCAGTTGTTATAAGCCAAGCATTGTCGTTTGTGCCTTTGCATCCATCTTGTTCTGGATTGATCGCACATTAGGGAGAAAGAGTGCCTCACATCTCTCTCCCTAATATGTGATCAAGCTAACGCAGGGGTGCCCAAATTATTATACTCAGGGGATCAATGCAGGGGGCTGAATTGGAATTTAACAACAGTAATTGAGAGTAATTATGGGAGTCACTAAACGTAGTCTGGCGGGCCTCACTTTGGGCTCCACTGGATAAACGTTAACCCACATCTTTGCCTCTGCTCACAGGCTTTGGCTACCACAGGAGATGGTCTGGCAATCTGCGGTGGGATAGACTTCTTGTGTACAGCTGTACTCAAGTATAATACAGTACACTTCTAAAACTCTGCACAACAATACAAAATGACAGACACTTGTCCAAATTCAGGCCGTGTGTGGCTCTATTCAATCTCTATCCACGCACTGACCGACTCACATACAAAAAGAAGATATTTTCTTCTGGATATGGAGAATGTTATTAGGTCGAGGATGAACCCTATACCGTAGTTTAGAGATTGTAAGATGGGGAACGAATGTCCAACGGTTTTAACCAGCATAAGGGGATGTATTATTTTTGTTTCTTAACATCATGTTGAACACTTGTGTGTGTTCTTGTATGTGTTTGTCAAAAGGTGCACACCAATGCCAATTAAATAAAACCAGGACATTAAATATTAACATCCGGTCTGACTATATATTTTCACATTATCCAGTTCAATGACACTTTAAGACTTGCTCGCCCTGAAGAGAATACTTCACTGAATTTATCACTTAATTCTAGCTCAGGGAGTAAATTACCTAATTCACTTAACCCGACTGGATTAAGAACAAATGCATGTTAAAAAACTTGCCTCAATACATAACAATTCACCCACTTCTAGCACAAGGTGCAGCTAAGTCGAGACGATTAAAATGGAGACTCCTTTGGCTGTGACATGTTGCCAAATAAAGTTTTGGAGACAAGTTGGAGAAAGTACGGCCAGCGTCGGCACACTTAAAGCACCAATCATCCATTTTCTTATGTGGGATGGCGATTCATTATTCAAACTGAGGGGCAAACTGCGCCTTTAGAGCGTGTGTCCCAGCCCCTAACCCGTCACATCTCCAGGACCAGTTATGAATCACACTGATTGATTAATAATATCATGCTATTAATTTCCAGCCAAGGTCTTTTCTCCATTTACTGTAGCAGCATGTGTGGAGTAAAGGAGAAAATTAAAGTTGAGATGTAAGGATGCACAACAACATCACTGTGATAAAAAAAAAATCTGCTTAAGATGCAAGGTAGAATTTGGAAATCAACTAGACCTGTGTCAGTTTGAATAAAGAATAAGACTAACAAGCAGCACATTCATATTAGTAATGGAACTCTTGCTACAGAAGTAGAATCCATATAACAAAACAGAAAAAAGGAACACTAATAGAACAGCGCAATTAAGTGTAATAAAAAGCACATTTTCAGAAACTGCTGCTTGTTGTGACGGTGATGTGCAAGTATTTCGCGAACTTCGGCAATAATAAAGAAAATTGAAGTTTGTGGGAAGAGTGCAGAAGCTCTGAAAGCTCTAAAAATGTATTTCAACGTCACAGTTATCTTCTCAGACACTCCCCAGGTCTACTACTTACTTTCACTCTCATTACTGAGCATGTGTTACATCATCATCAGAGCATACTATTTGGGCCAATGTATAGTTTTAATAAGACAATATTAAAGAGTTCACAAAAATTTAATTTAGAAGGAATTTTCCTACATTGTATCTGCATTAACTTTTCCATATTTTGATTTGTCAAAGCCTTTGTTAATGTTAATTTAGCTGTATTTCATTGTCTATGGTCTCTTGTTAGCATAATGTACTTTTGACTTTGCAATATTGTTAGATCCATTGTCTGTGTATAATTTTGCTGTGTCTTTATTAAATTCAGTTTTTTGGCCCTTTTTATTAGACTTGGAAAAACCAACAAAGGTCCAAATGTCAACCCTCCAAACTGACACAGGTCAAAAAACACAGGTTTTTAGTATGAAAACACCTGCAGAAACAAGCAAGGAAGAAAACACCTTTTCTGTCATCAGGCGCGATGACCTGCTCTACTGAGAATAACTTATGTACAGTAGAGTTAATCTTCCAGACTGAAGGGTATACAATCATGCTCTTGAGCAGAATTGAAGTATTGTGAAGGAGGAAATGTTCTTCCTACATGTCCAAATGATTCTTTGTGAGCAAAGGAAGCTTTATAATGAAGGACCTTAACGGTACCACTTCACAGTGACTCAGTGCATTCCAAATTCATTTGAGGCATAAAGAGCTTTTGATGAAGACCATCTTGACCTTAAGATTTTTTTATGCAAATGAGATGGTATTTACACACTTGAAGGACTTAATGTTCTTTGTATTAAGTAACAAGCAGAAAAAGCACAAGAATCGCTATTGTGTCAGATTGTAAGTGCAGCATTAGACCACTCATTCACTCAAATCTAAACATAATTATGTTAGACCGTGCCCACTGTTTTTGCCCTGCTATTCTTAAATGGATAAATCTTTAGTGTTCCATGCTTTTCTATCCTCTATAAAAGGACTTTCTTCTTCACTGACGCAAAACAACAAATATACACCACAATCTGACAAAAAGTGAAAATTGGCAAACCATGACAACCTGTCTTCATCACTTTTTCACTCTGTCAATCTTGACGTGTGCTACAGGTGACGGAGACCCGGACAGGCCCACTCGGCTGCAGTAACTACGACAATCTGGACACGGTGAGCTCAGTACTGGTCCATAGTCCTGAGAACAAGGTTCAGCTCCAAGGTGAGAGTCACGGGCAACACAGGGCAGAATGCTGCTTTGAGCAATACATTTATCCTTTATACTATGCCGTTTTTCAGTATGATTGTGAAAAAGAAAGAACAATTACTTAACTAGAAGCGAGGTTGAAAGGGTCCTCTTGCAAATCTCCTTGTGACATCACCTTACGGCCATAGGGAGGTGCCCTATAAATCCAAAAGCACCACACTGAGATAGCATTCACCTCATTGGGAAGATTCACCTCTGGAGACACTTATGATCGGTGAGCTCTGTTCATTCTTCAGTGTGACCTCAATGTGGTGTAGGGAAACGTGGGTAAGCTACTAAAACACTGTAGAAGAGAATATTTGTAGTATGTGTCGTACTCAGTGGGGACGGGTCCCGGCTCAAAAGGGCACGTGCACTGGCATGCTTGTAATCTGACTCATTGCCGGTGGTGGCGTACCTGGAAACAGAATTATCCAATGATTTATTTTCCTCTAGAAAATGTCTTTACAACCTGTTCCAAAAGTTGGCCCTTGGCTCAGCGCTACATTTCAGATGCCTGTCAATGTTGAGAGGAGTTGTTTTTGTTCGGACCAGCCTAGTTCAGTTGCTTTGGACTTTTGAATGAACGCGTCTAATGAACGCCTTGTGTCAGGCTCGTGCAGCCAACGCATGCTCCAGAACGCTCCAAAACAACATCAGCTAACACAGTCTATGGTTTTACATTTATTAACGTATTATGTCTGCTGTTAGTGAACACCATTTTTGAGTTGTTTCCGTGATTAATGATATTTTCACTTGTCAGGGTTGCAGGTCCTTCTTCCTCTGTACCTGCAGAGCCGCTTCATCCAGGCTGCGCTGGACTACATTGGCTGTAAGTCTGAGGGTGAGTTTGTTTGTCAGAGAGGAGACTGCTGGTGCCGCTGCAATGCAGACTTCCCTCACTGTAACTGCCCACTGTCCGATCTGGAGAGTCTGCAAAACAACCTACTACGCATCCAAGAGGCCTGGAGGAGCACCGACCGAGATTTTGAGCAATCTGGTAAGTCCTTTACTAGTAGGGATGCTGTAAATTCTATGGCAATTCTCATATTGGTTAAACATATATTTTTTTATTTTTTTAAATAAATAAAACTTAAAACATCATATTTCTAAGATAGGTTATGTTTTTTTAAGAAAATGTTCATTTCAGCGTCTTACAAGGCAACACACATTAAAGAAAAGAAAAGTTAAATCAGAACTTCGGTTAAATTCTTTTAATCTATAAACTTTCTTAATGAATATTGATACATAAAGTCTCTCAGCTAGCTATAAAACAGCACCAGACGTTAAATCCACCTTCTCTGTGCTGATGTGTCCAACTGTTTTCACACAAACGCATCAAAAACAGAGCCAGTACATATGTTCTAATGTAAACATGTTTAAAAAATCTAAAGAATAAGACTAACAAGCAGCACATTCATATTAGTAATGGAACTCTTGCTACAGAAGTAGAATCCACATAACAAAATAGAAAAAAGGAACACTAATAGAACAGCGCAATTAAGAGCAATAAAAAGCACATTTTCAGAAACTGCTGCTTGTTGTGACGGTGATGTGCAAGTATTTCGTGAACTTCGGCAATAATTAAGAAAATTTAAGTTTGTGGGAAGAGTGCAGAAGCTCTGAAAGCTCTAAAAATGTATTTCAACGTCACAGTTATCTTCTCAGACACTCCCCAGGTCTACTACTTACTTTCACTCTCATTACTGAGCATGTGTTACATCTTGCTCATCTATAGAACATATCCAGAGCGACTGTCAGAGGTCAACAATAAATGATATCAGTGGTGCTAACAAAGGGAACTACCCTACACATAATGACATTCAAACAAGGAAATCAAAGAAAAAGCTTTTATCCACAATGGGTGAGTGAGAAGCCATTGACTTAGCTAGTATACACTTGAGACAGAATGATGATGATGTTTCTCAAAGTTGACAAAATATTTAATTAGATGTTTTTTTTTGTTGCATCATAACAGGCTGAATATAGGCTTAATGAACATACATAATGGGCTGGGCTCATGTGGAAAACAGTGAATCTGAACCTGAACTGTTCCAAAGTAGGCAGCTACAATATCAGAGACAAATGTGGTCCTATTGAGTGTATGCTTTTAGCTCAGCCCCATGTGGTCTTTGCACAGTAGGGTTCAGGTGTGTTAACTATGTGAGGGAATATACATATGATCCTGTCATCTGCCTCCAGCCTTTTATACATGTGAGATCAAAGCTACACACACTTCTGTGAGTTATTCCCTCAGGGTTCAGACCAAGGCCAAAGAAACGTGGTATTTTTCTTGTTGTGAAAATTTTGAGAACTGTTCCGTTTGATCACCTTGAACATGCAAACAAACTTCCTCAAGAAAACAGAGCCCTTACAACGGTCTTTTGTTTTCCATTCCACCGCTAAGTGGCTTCCCATGATTATAAGACGTATGTGTCACAAGACCAACATTTCAGACTGTAACTTGAATATGTAAGGAATATTGTTCCCCTACCGCAGGGATGTCCAAACTTTTTAGTAAGAGTCAAGGGAGTAAGTCAAGGGACTCACCTCACCAGCTACATTAGCAATATCAACGGAAGTGACACAATCAAAAACCAGGTCAGAAACCAGTACGTACAAATAAAGTCAACGACATGCTGGCTTTAGAGCAAGGTCTATATTGGCTGAGCTGAAGTTGGATGGAACTTGTGTTTATGATCTCAAAGATAATTTTGGGTAAACAAGGCAGAGGGCCACTTTAAATGACATTGAGAGCCACATTTGGCCCCCGGGCCTGAGTTTGGACATACCTGCCCTACCGTGTTCCATTTACTCTAAGAATGTTATTTTACTTGTCTTCAGAAGAGTTCCGAGGTTTTGTGGAGCGACTGCCAAAGCATTATGCTGTGAACACATCGGTGGTGGAGCACTTGTGGCGTGCGGATGCCTCCCTGCTGCAGCGCTACAGGCAGCTGGAAGCCAACAGCCTACAACTCGTCTCCAAAGCCCGCCGCACAGCTCACAAGCTCTTTAGCCTGAGCAAGAGGTGCAGGCAACAGCCCAAAATAGTTTTACCACAGCCAAGGTGAGTCGCAAAAACACCCAGAGGGAATAATCAGACACTGTTAACATAATGTGACTAGAAATGGATGTATAGTTTAATTATGGAAGAGGCTCATGTGCTGGTTGTTGAGAAAAGCAGCCAAGTGAGGTGGTGCTTATTAGACAAAATAAGAAAGAAAAATTGCTGACACGGGCAATGAGGATTCTGTTAAGTGGAATAGGCTGGAAAATTGACTGTCCATAGATAATTCACTAACACTGCAGCTGGAATCAGAGGATCAATTCAAACCAAGCCAGGTGGGTGTCGACCACCTGAGTGTAAGAGGCAATCCAGATAATGATACATCCATGATTCAAACACACTGCATAAACTCACGCCTCGACATTTTAGTTTCACTTCCCTGCACCCACGTTACACCTGTGACCGGATCAAACTTGTTCACAAAACTGATCAAAACTCTAAAAGTCAGTGCACTCTTTCACCTTTTGAATAATGAAGACTGTTGATGCTGAGGGGAGTATTCTTATTTTGGACCAGCCTGGTTTAGCTGCTGTGGACTTTTGAATGCACTCGTTAACTGAATGGGGTTCATGCCAGCTAAAGCATGCGCAAGTGTGTTTTATCCATAGAATGTAATTATTAACACACGTAGTCACGCCTTTCTCCGCCGTTGTGCCACCACTTTTGCTATGGGCAGTTTCAAAAGGACCTCGCGGGCTGGAAAATGTGAAAAAACACATCTGCGCATGCGTCAGCCGGCACGAGCCCCATTCATTTAACGAGTGCCTTTCATAATTCCACAGGGATTAAATTACACTGATCCAAAAAACCATTTGGACCATCCTGTAAAGCTGTTTTTGAGAGGTGAGAAGATGCTATACATTAGAATTGGCTAATTCAATACCTGGCATCTCTGGCCACCCCCCCGACCCAGAAATGGATTAAGAGGAAGAAAATGAATGAATGAATGAATGAATGAATGAATAATTCAATACCACCCCCATCGGCCCGCCGTTTTATTGCAAGCATATCAGTGCACTTCATTGTGGCCATTCTTGAGCCGGGACCCGCCCCGACTGGTTTTATGCCATTCACCTGCAGCAGGGGCCACTCACGGCCATTTTGAGAAAGACGGCAGGAGGGAAAAGTGATGAAACATAAGTTTCAACAGTGAAGATGGGCCTCATTACGTCCAATAATATTTACAGTCTATGATTTAAAATCACTTCCAATAGCTCATAATTATTAGCATTGGGACAAAATAGATATGAGGAGAAATCTTTTTTCAGTTGCTGACCAACCCGTGATTGCGAGATTTTTGTTCAAAAGTTGGCCCCTGTCACAGAGGGGCGTGGCTTTGCATGAAAAAGGCCAATACAGACAAGATGACCCTCCACTGGACACTGCTCGTGAATTGCTAATTTTCATCACACAAAAACCTTTTCTCTATAAAAGAGAATTCCGGAAAGTCAGTTTAACATGCTTACGGTTTGTTTTCTTTAATAAAATGTAGGGTACAAGAAGTTTTTCTCTGTAGGAAAAAGAGTGTTGAGCAGATAGACAAACTTTTAGGTGTTATTTCTGTACACAGAATAATGACGCAGATGTATGAAGGATTTGGCTTCTTGTTGTATAATGTTTTTAATTAAGTTTGTAAGTCACAAATATTGTGGCCATATAAGCTTTAAGAAGCAAGCCAGAAATATACATTATGGCAAACAAAGATGTTCAGAAACATCCTCAAATAATATATAAATGATACTGTGTTAATGGTGCATAATGTTTGACAAAGATGTCTTGTCCTCTGTAGGCCGCTGCACATCTGCTGAGCTACTGCCTGTCCTAGGCTGTAACTGCAGTTGAGAACGGCCATGTCGGGTGTGTACAGTCAGGAGAGCCACAGCTGCTCCTGTCCCTATGCCCCTGTGTCCTGCCAGGGTGTTATCCCCTGCTCCGTGGGAGACAGCTCCCGCTGCACCTCCTGCTCCACAGAGAATCGCACACGGCTGCTCCAGCTGTAACGCAGGCTTTACTCTGGACCCAGGGGGTCTGTCGGCCATCTGTGCCTGACCCCAACTGACCCTTTACCATGGGGCTGGAGAGTGACCGCGACCTGCAGGACTGGAGCTGCGTTATCTCCTGCAGCAACGCGACCCTCGCATCACCTTGCATGGAGTGTTTGTGAGTAACGATGTGCGCGTCAACACCTGGTTTGACCCGTCCTGGAGGAAGAGGATGCTGCTAACACTCAAGAGCAATCGGTCAAATCCAACCGCGTCCACATGCTGCTGGGAATCGCACTGCAGATCTGTCTCACCAGTAACAGCACTCTGGAGCCAGCCTTCTCTCTGTTTGTCAACCACGTTTGGAGGCAGCCACGCAGAGAGCTGGACCATGCCCATAGGCCAGAGTGAATACCCGGACTGGGGAGCGCACCAAGCTGGACAGACCCTTGGACTGCTATAACAGGGACCCTGACTTTAGGTAACCGCGCTGGAAAAGCTTTTTTGAGACTGTCCACTTTTATTTGCGTAGTCGTATCCGGGAGCCGGGGGGTGGGAATCGTACTACGGTGTACTATGAACCACCTGTGCCCACAGAGCCGACCAGTAATGTGGGCTACATCAAAATCAACAGCATGCAGCTGCTGGGGTACAGCGTGCACTTTGACCCAGAGGCAATTCAGGGACTTGAATCCTGCAGATCGACTATCCCGTACACTCAGGGCTCCCAGGACTTCCGCCCTGCTGCAGCTGGTGGAGCTGCGCTACAGAGTGAACCGGCTCTCTCCCTCCAGGGGCCCCACACACAGACCTGTTCTCCCTGCCTGCTCCGGCACAGACTCAAACTGTCCAGCGCAGACGTTAGCCGCATCCTCACTGCCCTGCAGGACTTCAGCTCCAGGCAGCCCAACCACCAGGAGTACGAGGCCAACAAACTGAGTCGAGCTAAAGCCTCCTATGTGTACCGTCCTCCTCCCCCTTTCCAACTTGATGCTACGTGTGTTTAATGTTAGAAAATGTGCATTTTAAAAGGTTTTTTACAAATCACAGTGTATTTTTATCGAAACACTTGTTAAAATAATTACTCAGTATATCATAAATGAATAAAATAACATACAATGTTTTATGTAACAAACTCGTTTCTATTACTTTTTTCTGCTAAACTCATTGTGATCACAGAAAGATTTAGTTTTACAAAGAGGAATATGTTGACAGTCTTTGTTTTTAATGGAAATCTCACAGTTTGAAAAAGTTTGGGTATTAAGATTATTGTCAACGTTATATTTGTTGTCGAGCGTTGGCGTGGTACATCAAACTCACCTAATCTGCCTCACACATTTATCATGTTTTTCACTAAGAGAGCTGCAAGTGTTGTGTTGTCTTGGCCCATCTGGAGGCAGCGTACACAAGGTCTCCATTCTCCTGTCAGGGATCAGGCGGGCAACAGATTACTAAGTGCACAGAGCGTGATTTCTCTGCCATTCACCTCTTACTGTGATGGATGAGGCCCGCATCAAACAGCAGCCACAGGTGTTGTGCGACAAGGAATGGTACATTTATTGGGTTGGACTCTTCTTACAGAAGTTGCCTCTGAACCAAACAGGAAATCATCTTTAATTCCCCCAAAGGACTGGTGTCTCGGGCGCTGCTGTTTTGATTTGAACGAGAATCTTACGAAGACGCAGACTTCATCAAGATTCCCCGAGCACGTCTCTCCTGAGATTTAAGCCACGACACAATTTGCTCTGATCGCAAACGCCGTTCAAAAATGAATGTGAAGAGGCGGGTTGAATGCAGATCTCATGATGTTCTACAACAAACAGACTGCTTCTACTCAGTGTGGTAGGTATAAAGATGTTAAATGGTTTAAACAGCAAAGTTGGCAGAGCTCACCAAGCACTGGTTGCATCATATGTTTGTAATAGTTGTTGTATAAAACTTTGAAACCATTGATGCCGTTTTATGATTCATCCCAACTGCTCAATGAGAACGTTTCAAATGATTGCAGAAAAAATAATGTGAACATTTGCGCAGAATTCAGTAATATGTGAAGTAATTAAGTACTGTTCGGATTGTTTTTTAATTAAGATTACAAATAACCTGTAAGAACTACAACAATAAATACGAGCCAATTTATAATTTCCCAAACTTTGACAAAATGGCCCATCATTAAACAACCACATCATTATTTTTACCTAAAAGCAATTAGTAATACATTTGATAATTTCATTCAAAAATAAATTGTTAAATAAATATAAAAGATTGTTCCCATTTTGTTTCAAAAAGAATAACTATGTTAAGTTTGTTTAAAAAAAACCAGGACCATTACTTAAATAAAAGTCATCCATTACCTTCATCAAAGTAAAAAATTTAATACACATGAATAACCAGAGGCTGCAAAAGATAAGCTAACAAACAAACGATAAGATAACATTGGGTATCTCCGTCCTCTATGTTTTTTCCTCTTCAAAAACTATCAATTGATCAACACTTAAAATGTCTGAATTGCTAAGTAGTGTATAAACATTAACAAATCCACCTGGCATTGTAATCTTTGTCCAGAGACACATTTACAACTTTGTCTGGTAGTTTTTAATCAGCTAGTAGTTTTAAAACTTCATATCGGAGCCCCATTGGTCTACAGAATTGTATTCCACAATGATGCCCCTTGTCTAAATTTTCATTTCAAAATAACAAGTTTAAGACAAGGTTAAAATCAGGTTAGGCCTTTGTCCAGGAGCAGTGGTCACCCAGGGCACCCATCTCCGCAGGCTGTTGATGCTTCTTGGTCAGGACCACCTGGAGATGGAGGGATTCTACATCTGTACATGTTATGGGTGGTGGTTAAACCGGAGCACTCAAGGAAACCCACCAACGTGGGTAGAGACCACACACACTCCAACAGATAGTCCTCCAACAACACAGGAAACAAACCTCCACTTTCTCGCTGTGAACGCCCCAGTATCTTCCAGTCACCCACGCTGTCATATAACCACTAATGTCAACTTGATCTGTCTACCTCTATGGTTTGATTTCATAAAGATTTACTGTCTAATGAGCTTGGGTCTTTTTCCTACGTTCTGGCCTCCACGGTTGTTTTGTGTTCACATCACAGAGACCCCCCCGCCCACCTGTATAGAGACCCATAAAACCAATGTGGGTCTTTATTTAAAATAAAAATAACAACCTTCGGATATATGATAGTGTGGAACAAGAGCATGTAGGCGTGAATTAAAATCTAAAATGTGCATCAGGGAATGTACTGTGGGACGCGCCCAAAGCACACGAACATATGAAAGAATAATAACAATTGACTGCTACTACAACAAATAACAATGGCACAATAAACTACTTTAATACAATTCATTTATTCTTGATAGTAGGATATTAACTAAGGTAGCGGATTTTAAAAAACCATAGAATTTGCCCAACACAGAACCGAAATCAAAAACGGTTCAACACAAGAAAGCAAATTATTAATCTTATATTAAATTTTAAAAAACACATATCGCCATTATCCATAAAGGGTCAGATGACCAATGTCCATAAAATTGATAAATGTTCATAAACATCCAACTTAAGAACGTGTCAACCTAAAATATATATGACGCACAAAGAATGAAAATATTGAATCCATGTTTTAAAGTCAAACTATTGGAAAACCATAATAGGACATCAGATTTAAAACTACATACGATAATCTGAGCAGAGTAATTGTGTGGGGCCTCACTCAAGCTTGAGCGTGAGTGCCGCAGACGTGGTCACTTCTGTGGAACTGATTAGACTAATGTGTGTGTGAGTTTAACAAGCGCGCCGCCCAGCAAGGGAGCAGTGTAGGAAGACTTTTAGAAAGAATGACACCCGCGCGAGGCAACAAAAAAAAAGCTGACGAATCTTTCAAGCAGCACAGATGAGAGCTTTTTAACATCAACAGGAGGACTCACTGTCAGTCATCGCTCCCAGCTGACACACTCCTAATTGATCAGTGAACGATCCACGCTTTAATCGATAGAGGAGCTTTTTACAGATACTCAAATGTGTAACAGGAAATTTAAAGCTGGGGTTAATTTGCCGTAAATGTAGAGGCACATCCTGAATAAACCCGAACCAGAGTTGCCCTTTCTTTCTAAGGGTGGTAGTCCACAAACACGGACTCTATGGGATATTTTACGTAGGATGCAAAATTATTTCCAATTTCAAACAAAACTTTCCGATTACCAACAATAAAAGAGTAGACTATTTATTGATCTCACCACGGAGAAAATTACAAACGAACAATCAACTTGTATTTGTAAGAGTCAAACTTTTCCTAACACAAGGCAACACAAAGCGCCTCACGACCCATATCACATCAAGCAAAAATCCTAACAGTAAAAATTATACATAAACATTCAAAAGGTTAAAGATTAAGATTAAGAGTTCCTTTTATTCATCCCACAGTGGGGAAATTTCAGTAGTCGCATCACAAGTTTTTTTAGAACAAATGGAAGAGGAAAGGACACGGCACAAGATAAGTGAACTATAGCTATAATTAAAATAAAACAAAATCTCTAACTTGAAAAGAATCATAATAAAAATA